CATGTCTCTTCCTGAACGGCCGGGCGCGAGTCCCGCATACGATCAGCGCAATGTCTACCGAAACTCGCCCTCGCGACGATCGCGTCCCGTCGACATCGAAACCGGTGGCTACCATCCCGTAGGAGATACAAATCAACACCAACGTGGGAGATCTATTTCTTCTTTCGCTGATTCCATCGGTCCTAATTCAAACACAGAGAGTATGCCTCTGTCACCATCAAGCCCCGAGGCCCTTGCCTCGAGGAATAACGAGCCCGTATCTCGCAAAAGGAGCTTGATTAGGCCCGAGAGAAACAGGATTGATAGGGACCACCGAAATTACCACTACCACAAGCATGCTGCGCACATGAACGTTCTCCCGTCGTCGACAGGAAATGACCCCATTTACGAGGACCTCGAGGCGTCGACCGACCGGTCCGGCTCGAATCTCAACGAGGATGCATCGGATAACTCTCCTCGACAGAGACGACATGCAAGCGGCGAACACGAAAAGAGCGCCGCCGCCTCTTCCCGTCCTGCTCCAAGCCGCTCGAAATCGGGAAAGATTCAAAAGAAGTCGAAGTCGAAGTCGAAGTCGAAGCGTAATTCCAGACAAAAAACCAAACAGGTGGAGGAGCAGCTTCGACCTCCTACATTTTGGAACGTCTATTGCGCCATTGTCACCTTCTGGGCTCCGGCCTTCATTATGAAGTGCTGCGGTATGCCAACAAGGGCGCAGCAGAGGGCCTGGCGAGAGAAGATGGGCCTCATCAGTGTCATCTTGTGCATCATGGCCATCGTTGGTTTTCTGACCTTTGGTTTCACGGCGACTGTCTGCGGCGCTCCCGCGGAGCGGTTACGCGTTAACAAGGTTGATAGTGGTAACATGATCTTTCACGGCGTTGCCTATGATCTATCCAAGTCCCACCACCCTGCTGCTCAAGGCATGCCTCTTCGAGGTGACGGATTAGGCCCCAACGTTCTCTACGATTTGCCCGAGAAGCACGGTGGACAGGATGGTAGCTTTCTGTTCCAGAACGTCAATGGCAAGTGCAAGGGCTTGATCACGCTCGCAGAGGATTCCGATGTTCCGACCAACGATGACGGCGACCTGGCTTGGTATTTCCCCTGCACTACGTTTAACCAGGATGGCTCGACCAAGCCCAACCTTACCATCCCGTACTATCTTGGTTACGGTTGTCATACGACGCTTAAATCGCGAGATCTTTTCTACCTCGACTTGAGCGGCTCCGCGGACGTCTACTTTAGCTGGGACGATATCAAGAACAGCTCGCGCAACCTCATGGTTTACTCTGGAAACGTCCTGGATCTGGACCTTCTGAATTGGTTTAACAAGAGCCAGGTGGCGATCCCTGAACGCTTCGAGCAGCTGCGAGACAAGGATTCCGAAATCAACAAGCTTGTTCGGGGTCGCGATGTGACCCGAATGTTCCAGTCGTCAACTGACAAGAAGTATGCGCAGTGTTTTGAGGAAATCATCAAGGTTGGATCGGTCGATACCGAGACGATTGGCTGCATCGCTTCCAAGATTGTCCTATACTGCGCCTTGGTCCTCATTCTCTCAGTCGTCGGTGTCCGCTTCTTGCTGGCCATCATCTTCCAGTGGTTCATCTGCCGCAAGTATGCGCCAGCCAAGACATCGCAGAGCTCCGATCGCCGAAAGCGAAACCGCCAGATTGAAGACTGGTCCGAGGATATTTACCGTGCACCTGCAAGACTGCCTGGTGATATTGGAAGTACTGTGGTCGGATCTGACCGCACCGCCAAGCGTGGATCATTCCTCCCAACTACATCTCGATTCTCAACTGTCGGCGGCCCTGATGTGAGGCTCGCTAACCAGCGACGCGTTCCCACAACAATGGCCAGCCAGGCTGCTTCGAGCCAACTGCTCGCACCTGGATCCATTTTCAAGCAGGGCAATGACAGCCGCGCCAGTTTCCTCCGATCAGACCCGTACTCTAGCAACTCCAACCCTACCGAAGGCCCCGGACCCGCGGGCTTCATTCACGATGCTGTTGTTCCTCAGCCCCCCTCGGATTGGATGCCCTTTGGTTTCCCCTTGGCTCACACCATGTGCCTGGTCACGGCTTACTCTGAAGGAGAGGAGGGTATTCGAACTACTCTAGACTCGATCGCGACAACCGACTACCCCAACAGTCACAAGGTTATTGTTGTTATTTGCGACGGTATCATCAAGGGCAAGGGCGAGGCTGTTTCGACTCCTGACGTCTGCCTGGGCATGCTCAAGGACCACTCTACGCCCCCCGACATGGTTGAGCCATTCTCTTACGTTGCCGTTGCCAGCGGAGCCAAGCGACACAACATGGCCAAGGCCTACTGCGGTTTCTACGACTATGGCAAGGACTCTCGAATTCCCGTCGACCGACAGCAGCGCGTACCCATGATGGTGCTCGTCAAGTGTGGAACTCCGGATGAAGCAAGCAACTCGAAGCCTGGCAACCGAGGAAAGCGAGACAGTCAGATCATCCTCATGTCTTTCCTTCAAAAGGTCATGTTTGATGAGCGAATGACGGAACTCGAGTACGAAATGTTCAACGGCCTCTGGAAGGTGACTGGTATCTCGCCGGACTACTATGAGATTATTCTGATGGTAGACGCCGATACAAAGGTGTTCCCTGACAGTCTGACGCACATGATCTCTGCTATGGTCAAAGATCCTGAAATCATGGGTCTCTGCGGCGAAACCAAGATTGCCAACAAGCGCGACAGCTGGGTGACGGCGATCCAGGTGTTTGAGTATTTTGTCTCGCATCATCTGGCCAAGTCTTTCGAGTCCGTCTTTGGTGGTGTTACCTGCTTGCCCGGCTGTTTCTGCATGTACCGCATCAAGGCCCCCAAAGGTGGCCACAACTACTGGGTCCCCATTCTTGCCAACCCCGATATCGTCGAGCACTACTCGGAGAACGTGGTCGAGACTCTTCACGAGAAGAACCTGTACCTCCTGGGAGAAGATCGTTTCCTGACAACTCTGATGCTGCGGACGTTCCCTAAGCGAAAGCAGGTCTTTATTCCACAGGCTGTGTGCAAGACGACTGTGCCCGATGAGTTCATGGTTCTCCTGTCTCAGCGACGTCGCTGGATCAACTCGACAATCCACAACCTCATGGAGCTCATTCTGGTCCGTGATCTGTGCGGTACCTTCTGTTTCTCGATGCAGTTCATCATCTTTGTCGAGCTTGTCGGTACTCTGGTATTGCCTGCTGCCATTGCGTTTACCTTTTATGTTGGTGAGTGAATCCAGTGCTTGTTATGTTGTGTTTGGGCATAAGCTAACCACATCGCAGTTATTACGTCAATCATCAATTCGCCTCCTCAGATCATTCCCCTGGTTCTGCTGGCTCTCATTCTCGGTCTGCCGGGTCTCCTTGTTGTCGTCACCGCCCACTCGTGGTCGTACATTGTCTGGATGCTCATCTACCTCATGGCCCTACCGATTTGGAACTTTGTCCTGCCTAGCTACGCCTTCTGGAAGTTTGACGACTTCTCATGGGGTGAAACTCGAAAGACGGCAGGAGAAAAGACCAAGAAGGCGGGTCTCGAATACGAGGGCGAGTTTGACAGCAGTAAGATCACGATGAAGCGGTGGGCCGAGTTCGAGCGCGACAAGCGATCCAAGAGCGGCTACTGGGGTTCCCGTGAGAACGTGGTAGGCGGCGGCGGAGGAAGTTGGATCAGCCCTCCAGGCCACCACCAGTACAGTGAGGATTACTACTCTGATGCTTGAATGTTTGGCGCCACGGAGAAGGAATGGGTCAAGGCTATGGTGATTCAAAAGGAAGGGAGTTTATTCGAATAACCTGGGAATGCACACGCAACGTACACGCACAAAGAGACGCATATGTAATACGGGGTAGCTTTTTTGAAGGCAGGCTGTTCTGCTTATTGTTTTTTGAGGTGTCCCTTTGGAGGCATCAGACCAGTGGACAAAGGTCGCCTTCTTGTATAGAGTTAGTTGGACATGGCGACGGTATGGCGTTCGTTGTTCCAGCTGCTGTTTGTTGTAAATAGTGTAATTGGACTGTTCTGAATGACGATACCACATTATTATAACCTGCACTACCTTGATGATTCTGTCATTAGCATCTTGACTTACACCCGAGTGTTCTTCAGCGAGTCGATGGTCAAAAGAAAAATAGGGGTTCCTTGAGGAGGGTAAAAAGAAAGGTCTCGGAGGGAGTCGAACCCTCGCTGGCGGAATCAGAATCCGCAGTCATAGCCGTTAGACCACGAAACCACGTGACTAGCTTGACAAGAGTCCATGGATTTTTGCCTATGGCCTCTGTGACAACACGTTGGAGAGTAGTCCTGGCTTGAAGATGTAAATATCGATCTGGGAAACATCTTGAGGTAGGGAGTCAGCTTTCAAGGGCTAGGCTATAATTAAACACTAGGCCTTTGATATTTTTATCACTCGGAAAGGGCGTACGGCACGCCATTCAGAGAGCACATACTCCAACATGTATCAATAATAGGCTTTCTAATTTGAGAGGCATGTTGCTGGTCGACTGCTCTGAGCTCCGTAGCATATCACCATAATCATAACCCCCAGTTCATGTTGCGAGCATATTTGGGAACTGAATGTGCAAAGACCTAGCACACTTTGCTATGGGAGACCGATGGCCCGGCAAGCATGGGAGGTAGACAGGAAAACCGTTGATGCTCACCCAAGCATCTGGAAACACAGGAAAGGATTACAATTACACAATCGGAGTCCAGAATCAAAAGCTCGTGCCTATCATTACCCTCATACCGAGGTGCCTAGGACTCTAAAGCTGAAGCGACATTGAAAGCTCAAACACCGTCTCGCCCTATCTGCTCCGAATACGCCATACAACATGTACCGGCAACGCCAACAAGTACTGTACTGTAGCAGCAACCAAACCCGCCTTTGTATACTCCCTACATGCAAATGCATCATTCTTTGTCATGGCTTGCGTCAAAAAGAAACACACAAACGCCAGCCCTCTCCTCAATGGACCTCACTTCTTGGAGGGATCAACGTCCTCGCCCAACTCCCAAGGCTTTCGGGCGTCAACATAGGTCGATATCCGCTGGTCGCCCCATCGAGCGCCCACTGTAACCCATACGTGCTTCTGCGGCAGGTGAGAGCTAATGTTCTCACGATACCCGCCCCATCGAAGACGAGCCTCTCGGCTCATTTGGCTGTTGCCAAGGCCACCATTTGTCACCCATTCCTTGACAACATCCTTGATAAAGGTAATCTTTCGTCGGAAATCGTTGGCAGCGGGGATGCCCTGAAGGTCAGGGGCGATCTCGGGCCGCCTCCGAGTAGTGGTAGTCGTCCGTCCAGCTCGAGGAGCTGTAGGCTTGGCTTGAAAGTTCAACAATGTCTGAAGGGGATACGACAGCATGGCTCGGTCGTCAAGTGCTGCTGCGCCAATGGTGCCGGTCTTGGCGAGTCTCTCTGCAGCATCCTGGGGGAGATGCCAGAAATGGCACCAGGTACCAGTGGCGTCGATGACAATCTTGGTGTGGTCCGGGAAGTTGAACTGTCCATGTTAGCATCTCGTTGAAGGTTACTGAGGACAATGGAATCACTTACTTGAAGGTGACCGTCACAGAAGACCCAGCACCCAACATCTCCGAATCGTTGGTAGAATGTCACCAACTCTGCCACCGTGCCCTTCTGGCCTGGAGATATGGAACCCACTGGGTCGGTCTCTTCAGACGGCACAAAATCGTCTCGTCCATAAGCGATCATGTAGTTGGCAAACTTCTTCCAAAGAATGATCCTCTCACGCTTTCGGTGCTGGAAGATGTCCTTGCCCGGCTGCATCTTGCCAGGCGTTCCATCTTCGTTCACAGCCACGCGGAATTGCTCGGGAGAAACAATCACCTCCGACAGGCCAGTCTCTCCGTTGTTCTCAAAGAACTTGATGGGTTCAGTCATCGGGAGAGGCTGGCTTCTGTCCTCGTATGTTTCGTCTTCCCTGCGTAGAATATGTCTCTCTGCACCGCGAATGAAAACACCAGCCGGGGGGAGCAGCGCACCCTTGCCATTTTCTGTCGTGGGGATATCTCGAAGAATGCATCCGACGCTACCATCGTTCAAGATGTAGCCCAGACCAAACTTGTTGGTGTAATCAACCCACTTGACAACCACATGAGGATGGGGGGGTGCGACCATCTTGGATGAGATGATGGCCATGGTTCTCGAGTTGAGGGCCCGTTCCAGCTCTGTCTGGAGGCGGTGTAGTCGATCCAGAATCAGGTCAGGCCTTGTGCCTGAGATTTGGTCTTGCCGCTCAGAAGAGCTGAACAAAGTTGCTGGTCGCATAGATTCCGCATAGTCTCGCTTTGGCGGTGCGGCCGGGGCAGGGGCAGGGGGTGTAGCTGATCGACGCTCAATCACTGGTCTTTCAGACGTCTGAGGCTCTGCAGATCGACGAGAGACTGTGCCAACTGAGGGCAGGGCTGTCCTGCTCGAGCTCCGCAGGCTCTTGCTGGACGACTCCATGGCTTCCCTTGAGGCATTCTCTCGGGACCCCTCCCTCCTTGGTCTCGCTCGCACGCTCTGCGATGCAGACAGTGTGGGATCAGCGGTGGGCCGTTGCTTTGGTACCATAGAGCTGGCTGGCCTGTGTTGCGATCTTTGCTGCGCGGCAAAGCTCTGTGGTGGCAGACGAAGGAGTGCCGATCCGCTGGTCTTTTGGCTGCCCGACAGCGGATCCTCGGTCGAAGCGCTCGCCTGCGAGGATACGTGCGAAGGCACGGCCATGGCAAGCCGAGACTTTCTAAGCTGCTGCTCCCTCACCCACTCCTCAAATGGTCTATACAAGATTCCCTCCTCGAGCGGAATCAACGGAGTAAGACCAGCCTTCTCCTCTGCAGCCATCTCCTTCCAGATCTGAGAGTAGACAACCTTATCCGATGCGTAGGGGCCTATGCCACACTCTAGGCACATGTCCTTGAAGTTTCTCAGCGACTGCGCTTGCAGAGAGCTGTTCATCCGTGTAGCATAAAATTCTTGTCGGTCTGGTGGGAGCTCCCTTAGTCGTGAGCTCATCTCCGCTTCTGTGGGCATATAGCCAGATGTGAAAAAGGGATGTTGGATGATGGCATCGGGGTCCGGACGGCGCTCCGCTTCCTGGAGCATCGTGGCCACCAGGTCCTTAGCTTCTTGGCTGATGAATCTCTGCGAAGTCTCCGCAGCGGGCCATTCGTAGTCCCTCTCCCTGGCTCGGCGGTAGATTTCGTCCGTGGTTGAAGATTGAAACGGCGGCTTGGAGGTGAACATGGCAAACCTGTACTCGTTAGCATTTTTCATTCCCAAGAACCGACTTGTCTCACATGATAATTCCCAAGCTCCAGATGTCGACCATGTGATCATGGCCCTTCTTCCCCTTCTCCAGAATCTCAGGGGCGATGTAGTTTGGTGTTCCGCAGAGCGTCGTTCGTCGAATCGTGTGCATATCTCTGCCGGTCACCAACAATGCCGCCAGACCAAAGTCGCCAATCTTGGCGTTCATCCTTGAGTCGAGAAAGATGTTTCCCATCTTCAAGTCGCGGTGGATGATGCCCTTGTTGTGCATGTACTTGATTGCGCCGGTGATCTGGACAGAGTAGAAACGGACTTCAGGCTCCGTGAGGCCTTTCCTTCGCTTCACCATGTCCATCAGCGAACCATTCGGGCACAATTCCAGGACCAGATAAGTGCAGTTTTCTTGCGAGAAGGCTCGTAGGAATTGGACGACGTTCTTGTGCTTCATCTTGGAGTGGATCTGAAGTTCGGTTTGGAACTGAGAGCACGTTAGAACCAACCATTGCAAATATTCCATCACCACATACCTTTTGCTCCATCTTGGGAGGCATGTGGCTCTTGACAACCTTGAGGGCAAATTTTTGCCTCGTCACGGCGTGTGTTCCATAATAGCAAATGGCAAAACCACCCTTGCCGAGCAACTTTCCAACTTGGTAGGTGACGCCATTGGGGTCGTTTCCGCTGGGGGGTTCGACCACTTCCGCTGGTGGTGGGGGCGGGTGCTCCTTGTCCTTAGCTGCCCTGAGCTGAGCTACAGTCTTGGTCTTGACATCAGTCATCTTGGGTGCTCGTTGGGCGTTGGCGTCCCTAGGCGACAAGGCTTCCAAATCGAGGCCGCCTCTGGGCGCTAGCCTGTGGGCCATGACAAGAGAACGACTCGATTAACACGTTTCGGAGGTCGAGGGGATCGGCAGTGACTCGATACTGGAAGCGCGATGCCAGCAAATAACAAGGTCAACAACCGCCTTGAGGAGTCGCGAAGGTCGATCTAGAATCGAGGGTTAATTCACATAATCATGTGGCCAGTGGATGCGTTGTTCGTAGAGGGCAAGGTTCGAAGCGATGATTGTCGGTCAGGGACTTGATGAGATTAGACGGGATGCACATACGGGACTCGCGACAACAACATGCAAGACGAGAAAGGAGAGTCGCCTGTTCGCTAGCAAGAAAGCAAAGGCATTAAGCAATGCTGAAGCTGAGATGAATATCGCCAGGACCTGTGTTAGTAGATGCAAGAGACCAAGTTGGCGTGTGGTTCCAGGCAGGAAGAGATGTAGTTGCCGCGACGAGCTAGAACCGCGAAGTTTGTGTACTTTCCCAGCGGGCCGTTGCTGCTGGCAACCACCACGAGGTACCCTCGGTGGGTCTTTGGCTTGGCTAATAGCCAATCATACTACACCACACACCGCTGATGCTGTTATCCGCCAATCGGATCCCTCTCGCCTAAGGTTGAGAAGCTCGGTCCAGTAGGACCTAGCTTCAACGATGGAGCTCAATTGATATGCATGACTTTGGATGAGTCGCCAATGTTTAGCATGGCCTCGAGTTGATATTCTGCGTGGCTATCTTACATCGTAAGTGATGGCTGTCTATGCTTAAGTGAGGGGATTTAATAGTGTACAAGGGTAGATCCAGACCATGGAAGGGCGGGCAGGGGTACCTACACCGGCATGACCAGATCCAACCTCTGTTCATGGATGTCCCCAACTCGTTCAAGGGCTCTTCGAGATCAGTGCGACTGTATTTCCCAGCCAACGCACTGTCTTTGATGCTTATGGCTCTTGCCTGCGATGATACGCTTCAATTTGGCAGATGCTCGTCATCTCATGGTCATTGTAGGCTTGGGAGTAGCGGCTGCTTTGTCTTTGGGTCCTTGAGACCACGCAACGCCTCCTCCAAGGTCTCGAAGCGTTTCCTCTGCTTCTCCTCGGCTTCTTCGAGTTCCTCCTCTCTCTTCTTAAGCTCGTCCAGCTTCTGATCGAGTTCCTCTAACCGCACCTTGTTCGCATCGGGCTTCTGTGACGACTTCCAAGACTCGTAGACGATGAGGCCAATGGCCACCGACAGGATGAATACGTCTCCGACTACATCTGCAAACAGGTCGACCGCCTTATTCTCGGGAAGTGCTCGAAATTTGCGCCGCCAGATATTCTGGAATGGTATGTTCCTCGTAGATGTCTCCGTGCTCTGCTTCTGCTTCAGCTTGATCTCGTCGTCTCGCTTCTGCTGCTCTTCCGTCTTGACTGTCGGTGCCTCTGCCTTTTCCTTCGCTCGTCGTTCCGCTTCTGGGTTTCGTAGTAGCGCTACTTGCATGCGCATATTCAATTGGTGTATATGTTGGCCATATCGGGCCGCAAAGGCCCGGAATCGGGGGTGGTCGTGAGCCTGAGCTTTTATATGATTCTGGCGGGGAGTCAGTACTGGATCTTGGAGGATGCCCTGGTGAGGGAGGATCGTACCGCGCCATACTTGGAAACATGCCTCACGAGCAGAGCCCCGAGCTTGAAGAGTGGGAGAGGAACCATGGCCGGAGAGGGTTTTGGATGTCTTGGCTCCAGGGTTGTCAGTTGCTCAAGCACCGAATTTGTTTCGTAGTCGGTGGGGCTTGGTGCCGGAGATGAGTTGTTGTCAATTGAGAGAGCTGGGAGGCGAGTAATGTCTCAATGATGGCGCACCACGAAGCATGTGGCGTCAATCGAGAGATTGGGTTGAGTTCATGGTATTTCTTGAATGATCGGGCCAACGGTAAGCACGTCGTCACCGGCCATTCTTCAACGGCGCACTCAGTGCCGTGCCGTATCTTCCGGCGCCGTGATGTTCCGCGCTGACCTTCCAGGGTGAGCGAGTGAGGGGTACGTACACTCGAGTTTCCAGTTCTCCGATTGGCCCAGTGTTTGAGATTGGGAATTAAACACTTCACCTTGATCCCATTTAAATAGTCATTTAACGATGGATGTGTTATATCCTTCTCATCGATCGTTGGCTGTTGTTAAAACTTGGTCTAGATTCCAATTAGGGGGTTGTCCTATCCAGATCACGGCATCTGCTCTCAGGCGGTGCAGTGTCGTCTGGGCTTCACCCAAATCTCCACAATGGTTGAAGCTGGACATGATATGACATCCTGTTAATTCAGCGGGTTTGCCCACTTGTCTTGGCTATTGAGAGTTGAATTCACCCATGCCTAGGTTAATGAGGTTGTCACACAGAATATACGCTTTAATATGTAGCATTGGATGGTTAGGTGTGTAATGTCTCTGGCTTGAGTATTAACATTCAGCTCCTTTGATACCTAGCTACCCTAGATTGAGAGAGAGGCAGGCAGCATTGACTACCTTATCTTTGATGGCAGCTTCCAAACTGTGACTGCCTCCATGGAAGTTCCTCTCACAATCTCGCCCTTTCTCCCTCTGTAAGTCCGGGTCACGCCCTCTCCATGGTTCTTTCCAAAATGGGAGCGAGTTACCAAGTTACCGGGCACCTCGAACTTTCATGTTGGGCCGTCCACCCAACACTCGATTCTACAACCCACACCTTGCGTCCCTCCCCCAAGACTCAACGAATCATGTTCACCTCGTCCCTGCGGAAGCGACAAGAGTGGGCATCCACTGTCCCGTCACTCAGGGCTGGGTCGCACCCCTGGAAAGGTTCGTCTAATGTGATCCACGGCAGGCCATGCAGGAGGACTGATGCTAGATGAGCAGAGGCGACGCTGGATGCTTGTGATATCACATTTCCCATCACCAGCTCGGGTACACCGCCCGCTATTTTCAGGGTCACTCTCCTATCGTTGCCAGAACTGCAGACTCACGATGGAAGGGCTCGCGTGGAGCGACTATGGCTCATGAGTGGAGGAAAGCATACCGCCGTGGTGCTTCTGCTATGCGGAGAAAAGCCAATGGAGGATTTTTCTCGAGTCCAAGCCGAGTAAGATCTAATTCAACTATACTTTCCCATGATTCTAACACTGGCATGAAGTATGCTCTCGGATTCTGTTCCACCTATTATCCCAATATCATCAACCCGAGACCTGCGTGGTTGTCTGGATGCACTCAGGCGAGAGTGTACGGTTAATCGAGAACACAGTAATGAGGCCCGACGAGATGCTCTTCGAGAATTGGTGTGCCAATGTATAGATGGAAAGGCGCTATCGAGAGACCAAGCCAACATATTGACCGGAATCACATCCGGGTTCAGAGATCTCACGGTCCACGTCACTCACCCAAGCGGTCCAGCTTTTATCAAGGAGTATCTAGGTGATGCGGATGGTGAACGTGTCATTTCTTTTCTGACTAGTGGTCCCTCCCGCGTCAGTAGTTGAGTTGACGGGCGAGATAGGTGTGATATGGGATCATGTAGGGTTACCATTCCCACCAAGATGGACTGATTCACCACAGCCAAGACATTGGAATTAGACACACTGATTGTTGGCGGTGACGAGATGAAGAGGCTATCGACTGATTTGGACTGACGCTTCTTAGATAACGTCGCTTACAGTCGATCATCCGCCCAAAAAGCCGGGTTACCAAAGCCCGGAGCCGGGGACGAAGCTTCGATGTGGGTCCACAGCTCCGGAGCAAGATGGCTGCGAGGTTAATTGCCTGCATGCCAGCCATTCACGATGAGGATAAGCAGCCTCAGCTAGATCGATGGGAAGAAACAAACCCGCCAGAGGCGCCCAGGTTCTGCAAGGACAGGGTCGTGATATCCACCGGGCAACGGTCAACGCGGAGTGACGAGGTTGATGTGGCTGGGCCTGTCACGGGAGGCTGAACCAATGACAACGGGCGTGCAGCCGCCGGACAAGAATCGACGGCCATGCGACGAGCAGAGATGGTGGTCGGCCTCAAGCTCTGGTAATCACGCACTATCGAACGAGTCAAGACATTCGCTTGCACGATGGGAGAAACCATGCTGTGAAGGATGGGAGCTACTGGCTTGGGCATGACCTGGACGGCTAGCAATCCCAACTCCGAACCTACCAGCTCGCCGTGTAACTGCCTGAGCGGACGTGTCCTGCCGGCGCCGTGTCAGGTGATGCGTGGCGATGCCGGGTCCGGCCATGTCGGTCCCGAGCGGTAGATGAAGCAGACTGAGCAGCGTGTAAGCGCTGAAAGAAGAGACTTGGAGTTCTTTCAGAGGGCCTTTAAAGGATGCGCTGTTTCAACAAGCGCTTGGCTTTGGGCGCAGCTGGACCATGTGTTGGCCGTGCTTCCAACACATATATTCATGCCTTCCGCTGGGACCAATACTCCATGCAGCCGGCAGCCGATCAGTTTCGTTTCTTCTCTTGGGCTGGGGGATCTGGGCTCGGACAAGCAAAAGGCGAAAGTGCGTCTTTTGGACCTCGACAGAGTTAAAAAAAGAAGCACTGGGGTCGACACACTCACTAGACAAGGGTGGTGAATGGATGGTCGGAGGTGGATGTGTGGGCTGGAGGCGGGAGAGGGGACCAGGGGTCAGGGGTCTTGAGCTTTCCCGCTCTCTCTTAACACCGCAACGTCGGTTGTCCCAGCCTCTGCTTCAAGAGGGGCACACGAGACTTGGTGCTGTATGGTGAGGCGTCTCAGAAGCAGGAGGCGACAGAGGGCAGGAGAGAGGTGCGAGTCATTTCATGCGAAGAGTTTTTGGAATGCCTTGATGACCAAGTCAAGGACAATCAGGATCAAGGCCGACCGACGATGCTATTGAGCTTGGTTCTCGATGTTCTGGTTCTGGCTCTGGCCCTGAGCTTTAGCTTCTGATCCTTGTCGGTCTACCCGCCGTGCTCCTCGTCCACATGGCTGCTAAGCACGCCCATTGGTCCATGCTCTGGCATCTAGCCGCCGAGGTCATCACCAATCACCAGCCCCCGCACCACACCGGCAGACTTGTCGATGGAGGTTTCAATTAACCTCGACTGGGAGGCGGCCAATGACAAGGCCTGGAGACGGGTTAGCATCAAGATCGTGGGCTTCCTTGCCGTGTGACAAGGCTACTGCACCGCATCGCATCCCTGCCCGACGGTTCCCCCCTCACAGTCACCACAGTCACCCTCCTCCTCCGCCTTTCCGCACCGCCAGTCTCTGCCGTGATGGTGTCTGTATGGCCCGGCCCAGTCCGCGTGCAATCAATGCCCAGGGCGCTTGCTGCCCGTGAGGTGAGAATGAGCGGAAAGGCCTGGAGGATGGCGTGGCTCATGGCTCGATGGAGCTCGAGGGACCCGAGGGACCCCCATGCTGGTAGTCGATGGCTGCATTGCATTGGCTTGGCCTGTGAAATGGGTTCAACAAGCTTGCGTGCATTTTCTCTCCATTCCCGATGTCCCTTCTTGGCCTTTTCTTAAAACTGCTGTTGGTCGCCATGCAGCAAGCCTCCTCTTGTTCTCGTCCCCTCCCCTCGGTAACGTTGGATACCATACGACACCATCCCTGGTCCATCTTGAAATCGCTTCCTCAGTTCCAGTGTCTCAGAACTGCCTTGTGTGTCATCGCCACAAGCCACTACACACTCTTGCGACACTTGCGACAACCATAGCTTCGGACAACAGAGAAGCCGACCTCGCTGAGACAACCGAGCCTTGGTCTAGTTAACTTGGGGCTTTCGCATCTGCCTCAACCACGACTGCGCAACGCTACCTATACAAACCGCACTATCAGATGCCGCCCGTATGCTCGCTGTCATCATAGATCAGATTGTTAGAACGTGGATCTCTGAACCAGCTCCCGCGACAACGCCGGCTACACAACCATCCGCAATCGTCTGACACGCCGACGCCTCAGACTCTCAACCACCCGCATCTCCACCCTTCTACTCTCTCGGCACGACCTCATCCCTTCGGGGGGGTTGCTGCCATTATCAGACGCACATAACTTCAACCTCATCTCGCATAATAATAACGACCTCTCACCCACCTCTACTCTACTCTACTCTCTTCCTCTTCAGGTTCCAGTAATCTCAACATTCTTTCTTCTGTCTGCTGGCCTGACGGACCCTTCTTTTTACCCTTCATTCGTTCATCTTATAATACCCCTTTGTCTTTCGCTTCTTTTTCGCTTTACGACTCCCACCGCTGGCCGGCCTGTACTATTACCACCGAGGACGACTCTCGACAGCTGTGTTGGAAGTGGAATTCGATTAGACCAAGAGAAGCAAGTGTCTGGAAGTGCCATCCGCAAGGAAAAGGAACCTCGCCAGGCTTGGAACGAAAGAGAAAGAGAATCTTGATTGGGACTTTATCGACTTCATCATGGGTAGACTCATCAAGAACCACTGGGCGCGTCTCATCATCTTGAGCGCCGCAGCCTGTAAGTTGACTCTTTTGAGACACCCCCGGAACCCGACTAACATGTACAATCTAGACCAGATTGCTGCTGCCATCGAGGCATTCATCTGGCCCAAGATCTTTTGGGATTTCCTCACACATAGCCTCGACGGGGCTGTGAGACCGATTCCCGTGCTTCAGATATTAAATCTGCTCTTCGGCCTCCTCATGATAGGCCTCGAATGGCCTCTGGGCTTCGTCGCCGGCTCGGCACTCCACCGCTCGCTCGAATTCCGGCTCGCCCTCCTCCCCTTAACGGCGTTGTGCGCAGCCCTCATCTACCAGGGCACAAATGCCGCCATCTACTACCTCATCGGCATGGTTGTCTACTTTTGGGCATACAGCGAAGGCGAGGTAAGCTTTATTCATCTCTTCAGAGTGTGATCGACACTAACATGCTCGCTCTAGATCATATGTGCAAAGCCATGGACTCTTCCCCAACGTGGGCGTGGCGGCGCATCTCGTGTATAGTCAGATTTTCTACCTCACCCGCACCCCTTGTCCTCTCTGTATCCTACCACGGCAGAGAGAGAGAAAAAAAAAGACTGTACCTATATAGGACAAAAGTCAGACTTGGGAAAAGCATCTAGATGAATTCACGCAATCTCTAGAACTACTCGTCGCCCCCAAAAGGCGCACACACTCGCACGTCTCACGTATATACCCTCACGTCACGTCGTCTTTATGATCACGACGTCTGACGATCCACGGCGTTTCCTATTTCCAATTTAATGATTTGCTTTTTTCTTTACGAATACCAGTCCATGTTCTTTCTTATCTCCGATGAATCTCGAGTAGGAGGATCTCAAACGCCATGTTTACCATTTCTACGATATTGTATGACCAACGTGAAGGAGTTGGTCTAGGCTGCCCTAGGAAAGGGATAACTCTTGCGCCTCCGTGTCGGATGTGAACGGCGTGCAATTCGGGAGGCAAGGGGTTTCCAAGGCATGATGATCAATCTGACCGGCTCTCAAAGAGGCCACCGGGATCGGCAAGCCCCGGCGCATGATTTGCTTCAGGCCTCTCGAAAGGCGCCCCCTTGCTGGATGTAACCCGATACTAGATAGAAACTAATAAACAAGAAAACAAAAAACAGTCATTCATATTCGCTTGCGTCTTATTTTCTTGTTCGTTTCGCCTCGAGTTTCAACCTTGTCGAGCCAAGCCGGTCCGGCCTCAACTTCCCCTGAGCTAACAAACAGAAACTTAACATGAACCACAAAAAAGAGGCTGAGTTTTTAGAAACCAACTCCTCTGACCCAGAAACTACTACGCAGTACCTCGGCCTTTATTTTTCTTGGCTTTGTTGCCCATGGTTGCAGCGGCTGATGCTCTCCGAAACACCCCTTGTCGGACCCGGGTCTGAGGGATCCACATCGGAGTCGACTCTACGGGGACGGCGTGCCGACTTGACACACTCTACGGGAATAAAGGAAACCAAAGCCAAGAAACGCATGAACCAAGGGGGGATGATGTTTGAGGAGTTGAAAAGAGCAAGTTGAATTTTTTGTCTATACGTGGACCCGGCAACCAACATCAAGTTGTTTGGGAGTTAACCACAAGCCCCAATGTTAGAAACTGCACTCTACTCTTCTTGTTATTATCCCTTGGTCTAAAAGACTGTACCGTCACTCTTGATGATGATGGGGCTAGACTTTGTCTTTGGTCGACGCTGCGCTGCCACTTCACGTCCAGACTTCCAAGTTCCAGCCTCGAGCAGCTGTGCCATGCTCAACTGAACACCATCACCCATACGAGATTGAATCTTGGTGTACAGCTTGTCGATCAGAACCAGAGTCAAGGCCCTCCACTCGACAATGGTGTCATCTCCTGCTTCAAAGAGCGGCAACTCCCCACCCGATGCCTCCAACCCGCGGTCGAGCGTCTCCTTCTTCAGGGTCAACACACCCAAGTCGACGAATAAGCCGCCGTTGCGATACTCGGGCAGGGCGGTTAAAGAATCGGCGTTGATCCACTTCAAATCTAGTACACGCTGGAATGGAACCATGAGGGAGTAGGTGAGCCATTGGGTGAGTTTATGAAAGGGCTGGATGTTGTCTGCGGTGGCATCCGATTGCCCTCCCGTTCGGAGAGTGCTGAGTGGCCATGCGTCGCCGATGGCTGTCCCACCAACAACAGTTCGGTCCTTGGGCCAAATGGGAATGAGGAGAGTTTGGAGAATATCCCAGAGAACGAGGATGTCAAGCTCGGAGGATTCACCGGCTGTCTTGACCAGATAGTCTAGGATTGTGAGCAAGACATCAAGTGATTAAGAAAGAAAAAACTCACCAACGAGGTTTCCTGGTCGACCTTCAGCCCCGAATACACCTGGATGATCGAGAAGTGACTGTCCCAAGCTTCTGAGGAGGGCCGCACGGGAATCAACTCCCAGCATGGGGTTGTTATCAGACACCTGAAAGCCCTTGGCGAGTTTATCCGTATCAAGCTGCTTCAAACCATTTCCTATAACCCATTAGTACACATATCGGTGTCGAGAATGGTAAACATCACCATTGACCGTTGGGGTAGTGTCAGTCGTGAAAGCCAACTCGTTAAACATGTCGAGACTAGCCACGGCGATACCCTCACTCCTCTCATAGACCTGACCAGATCCAGGCTCCTTGTACCGCCAATCATCACCGGCGCCGGCATCCAAGAGGACCGAGACGAAGAAGAGATCGATGAGACGACGTGTCTTTTCAGTCACATCGCATCCCTCCTCCTCCCACTTGTCCATGATGGTGGTGATGCGCGGCACATTGCCAACCTCGAAATGCTGCCAGCGGCCATGAGGGGGAATCGTGTGAAACTTGTCAGGACCAAAGTCACGCTGAGAGGATATGTTAGTTTTTGAGACAGAGGGAATATTGGGCTACAACCTTGATGACAGAGGCCACAAAGTCGACAACCTCGTCCAGCTTCTCCTCATGCAGATCAAAGTGGCTCAGCTTTCCGGCCTTGGCCACATCTCCAACGATCGTGGCACGGTCTCGGATGGCCCGGAGAGAGAGTAAGTACTTGGCTTGCGAATCCATCTTGAATATGTGATAATTGCTTGTCTGTTATGATAATGAACAAACATGAACACCTATGAACCCCGCACTTATAGTTGTTATCAAGTGCAAGCTTGTAATTACGGCGGAGGTCAACAAAGGCGGTATGTCAGCCGAGACACGGCACCATGATCGATCAGGCAGCTGCTGCACTGATAAGACAAGCGCGTCACACAAATGAATGATATTTTCTTGCCTACATCTTAACAACAATAAAATCACCGATATTCAGAGTCATTGTTTGTATCAAATCAGAGGGCTGGTTTATTAATTCATGGGACGCTATCATCAATCCTTCCCCTTCTCTCGGGGCGTCAGCGATACTCGCTGATCTGATAGGATGGTCGCCATCATGCATATCCGCCTACCATCGGCGACCTTTCACCAACCGTTTCTGAACCGTGGTTCTTTCTCGCAGCCAAGCCCCAGTCATCGAATACATCGCCGCTAAGAATTTCCTCTACGTTTCCGGAACGCCTGCTTCTCACTCCTCTAGTGGGCAACCATGGGACCCTTGGAGTCGTTCTTGGTACCTTGACGCTCGGGCATCTGCTATACGTTAGCTATACTATCCCAATATGTCGAGAGTGAATGGTGCTCACCTCCGAGGTCTGGGTCTCGCCCCTCTCTAGGATTTGCTTGATGACCTCGTCATCAACAGAGGTGCCGAACTCGTTCTCAAGGGCCGCCTTGGAGGCGGTGTCGTAGGTTCCCTGCAGTCCTTGGCTGAAGGTGCTGTTAGCAACAGTCCACAAGATCCATTGGTGCCGACAATCGACGTAACGTCCAATGCAGAGAGGGAAACAAAAGAACAAGCTCCAACATGGTGGGTAGGAGCCATAGGTCCAAGCGAGCGTATGCCAAGCAATCGGAGCATCTCGCCATCACGCCCTCCCAAAGCAACAAGAAAGTAACGGAGCCGGGTAGAGTAAGAAAGCGGGGGTGGCTTGATCCAAATGACTTACCCATGGGTCAGGAAGATCTTGAATGAGGAGATGAAGTGCGCCAGAGGCACGCTCTTGTCGGTCTGCCACTTCTTGTAGGCCTCGACGTCATCAATGAAGATGAGGAACTCCTCGCTGCTGCCCTTGACGTAGACCTTGGTCTGCTGAGTCTCGCCGCGAGCCATTGTGATTGAATAGATGTGTGTGGTTTGCTTTGGTGGTTGGAAAGGTAGGATGTCGCGTGACGAAAGGATGAGATCGCTAGTGGTGATTGGGTATTGTTGTTGTTGGTAGTGAAGAGTGTAGAAATCGTGAGGATGATGAAGAGAAAGAGAGAAGAAGAAGAAGGATGAGGGAGAATGTTGTGACTTAAAAAGAAGCTCCGTGTGAGGAGCAGTGACGAGTGTAGCTTCCTCCGTTTGCTGATTCGGAAGCTTCCTACGTCATAGCCGTGCTCCAGAGCATCACAGTGGGCGGGTACGTACCGAGCCGCGGGGCATTCAGTGCCATTCACAGAGCACAGTCCCCGCAAAAAGCCGCGAGGAGCTGCCCCACAGCCAATCAGCACGCGCCTTCCCGTGGCCTGCCTGGTTGGAATTCGCCCGTCTTCCTCAGACGTTCCTGCATGCTGAATCCACCATGTACGTCACCTTGTCTTGAGCCAACTTGGAAGCTTCAAGTTCAGGTTCACCAAGGTCCTTTCTCACCGTAGCACCGCACAGTGCAGTACAAGACGAGGCGCCTCATTTCAACCTCGTCGATCCATCGCGTGCCCCGCGTGTGAGCATTGGCTACATTGGGCCCCTCTCCCAAGCCTCCTCACCTTTTCTTCTCCCGCTTTCTACGCCAGGTACGTATGTTACCTGTGGCTTTCCGTTGCCTTGGCAAACCTCACCTTGGCTACCCGCTTACGTATCAACCTGATGCCAACCTGATGATGGCACCATTCTCCTCCAGAGCCCAGTGCCTGATGTCTGAACACTCACATCATGGTCACCCAGACCTCAATGCCATCATGTCCACATGGTTGTTCTCCATAGCTAATTCATGACCCATCACGTCCCCAAACACCAGATCCATCCAACTCCAACATATCACCTGTGATGCCAAATGCCACACCGTATGTGTATGCTTTACCATTTTGATAAAACCTCTGGGCTTCTTGAACATACTATAGCTGTTGAAGAGCCGCTTCTGTCAATACACTCGGTAGTAATCCAATTGAATCGTCTCTCCACACACCAATCACCGCCATAATTCTTCAACTTTGGCTCATAAACCCCGTTCAAACCATACAATAAAGGCCTCACCCGAAAAATCTGCGAAGACCATGCCCTTTCTTTTCGTCCTGGCCGCTCCCTCTAGTCCACCGGGTGCTTTTGGATCGCACTGGAATACTGACTGGTGGACGTGTATTCTCCTTTGTACTGGGTGATGCTTCTGCTTTCCGGTAACTGGCCGTCAAGGGTTGTACAGCTGATTCTTTTTTCAGATCATCATCCATAGTGTCTGAATTCGTTTCAATCAAATCTGCATCCCGAGGCCTGGATGAGATTGTGAGCTTTTGCATTGAGGATCTGGTGTCAGAAACACTGCTTTCCTCCATGTTCATCTCTGTAGCCTCAGGTAACGTGGAGCACTTTGTAGAATTCGAGTGCCAGCTCCCATCCACATCAAAGACACCAAACGAGCTCGCACTTGACTTGCTAGTTTGTCGGGTGAGTCCCTCGCTCGCTACCTCTTCACTTCCTCTGCGTGAGGTGCTTCCCGATCTCTTGGCCATGTTTGCCATGCTTAGCTTTCTCATCATTGTTGAAGCCGACCGACGCATCAGCTGCTCATTACGGGCGATGCTCATCGTGTCAGGAAATGGAATGATGTTTTGACTCCAGACGTCCTCTAGGAGAACCTCAAGCCGCGCTCTTTCACTTCGGGGCGGTGCTAGTACTGGGATCCTTGGCTTCGACGATACTAACGAATGCGAGCGGCCAAGAATTGGTACCGGCCCTGTGGTATTGGTTGCCGACTTGACGGCACTTGTGTTCTTTAGAATGACATGCACTTGTGCTGAATGTGGGATGGCCGTGGTCGCTCGATTGACAGAAGCACTCCGCGCCATTGTGCCTGCAGGAATGAGTTAGTAGCCCACGGCAAGGAGACAGGAGAACGCACCTGGTCGTCTAAAGATGGCACCCAGACTCTTCATGTCAAATGTGAGGAAGTTGTATAGCACTGATGGTTTCTCCGATTGCTCTACATCTCGACTCCGTTGTAATCGACTTCGCCATTCAGCCTCTTCCTTTGGACTGCAGGCTGTCATGACCAGTTCATACAACTCGTGCTGACCTTCAAAGACTAGCTTCCAAGAGAAAGGAGCCAAGTGACATCGCAAGCCTGAAGCAAATATGTCAGATGCCAGTCTGTGTTTCTCCATAGCAGTTCTTACCTCCTCCTTTGTCGACATCCTCAACCTTTGCGCTGTGCAGATCAATGCAGGCCAGAATCGTGTATATCCGATCGGACTTGCCCCCTGAAGCAAGGCAGAGGACATCTTTGTACAACAAGCAGATCATATACTGGCCCTCGACTCCGGCCTCGGTCTCCCAACAAACATGAAGTGCCCCGCACAACTGTATGTGGCCAAAGGCACGGATCTGATTCTTTGAATCTGCATCAAGCCTCTGTCGAACCATTAGAATCCACACTTTACAGATTTATGTAAATCATACCCTGTCAGGAAAAACCAGGCGATCCTGTAGTAGCCAAGTCTTCTCCAGGGTCGTTTTCATGTCTTCGTTCGTGGCCGAGTTGTTGATCTCAACTGTTGCTTCCCGAAGTCTCGCCAAGGCTGTTTCAACCTCCATGTGGGAGTTTGGACAGTCAAGTACTGGTGTATGCTTGAGAAGTTCTGCAAACAGGAGGGGATATCTGCAGATTCTTTGGATAGGCTGAAGTCGAAAGGTTAGGGTGCTTGGACTTATTGAAATGGAGTTGACATACCTTGATAAGAAGGTCATTGACGGTGAGGGCCTTGTTAGACCCGCCCTCTTGACCCTTGGGGGATCCAACGGAGAAACCCAAAGCCTCGACCCCTTTTTGGTGAACCTCCCATTCGGGGAAACCCACGTGCGCCGCAGCAATGTCTCTTCTCATCATCTCGAACTTTGCCCCGTACTCTTTATAAATGAAAAACTCGTGCGTCTTATTGTGAAGTTAGCACACTGAGTTAAACACTGGGAGCAAGGTCATGGGTTCTGTACCTTTTTGTTGAAAACCTTGGCAACCTCCGCCGCAACCTGGGGGTCAGTGAGCATCCCAGGTACACTATGGAGTGTTTGCAGGTTGACACCACACTCGGGGAGCGTGTTTAAGCCCCGTGATCGATTGCGACCGTTCTTGCTGAGCACAGGGTGTTCAAGTTGAGAATACTCGGAGAAGGGGACCACACGGTGAAGGTCACCCAAGATTTCGTCGTGTAGTTGAAGAATATGGTGCAAGTTTCGATTAGTCGATGATCGTAGCTGCTTAGACAGGGAAGGGAGAGCAGCAAGCATATTGACGTAGGTCTCATATGGTCAGCTAGCCCCAGTCATTTCAAGAATACAAAGCTCACATTCATAAGGAAACGGATGTCGCCAATGTAATTCTCCTCTGTGCTAATGAGCTCCTCCAAGATCTGTCGACGTTCGAATGCACGCTGAGTTGCAGTCAAATCCTCCTCAGCTCTCTCCAACGGCCCAACGTCCTTAGACACCCGGGGAGTAGAAAGAGAAGCTCGACTGCTGCGCTCTGCACGCGATCGGCCATGGCGCCGGCGTGAGGTTGCTGCGACGCTCGCGGTAATAAGGCTCGTACCGGCGCTCTGCACAGCAGTGATAAAGCCTAGGGAGGATCCAGAGGATGAAAATCGATGCCTGAATCTGCGATGGATGACACGCCGGAATGGGTTATTGGGCTCGGGGTATTTGCATCTGTCATCACCGGTATATGATTCTCCTCCCTCACTCAGGCTGTTTCGTCGCTTGAGAGATCTCACCCACTTGCGGAATGGTAGTTTTGGCGCGGGATTCACGAAGAGGTGATCATAATCACCAGGGGGCGCTGAACATCGCATCGGTTGCGAATCTGCTGCCTTTTCTTTGGGTATATTTCGAGTGTTGAACTTATTCAAATCATCAGAAGCGTCTCTGTCATCGCTGCGTATGTTATCCGGGCTAAGGTCGATGTTGAAAGCCTTGCCGAGCTCTTCCCAGGGGCTCTCATCTCGTGACAAGACCGGAAGACCGGTTGTTGGCCAACTAGGCTGTTGAGAACTGTCAATATTTGGAGTAATACCTGAGGGCGAACTCGGAGGATCGGTGGAAGCCATGTTGGAGAGTGGCTAGGCGGTAGAGTCCAAGAAACGGAGCAATGTTGTGATCCCAAGAAACCAAAATAGCGCTCAACAAGGCAGAGCATAGGCAATCTCTCAAATCATAGCTGCAGTGATGGATGATGAGAAACAAGTAGATGATCGCAAATGTCACGGTGAAGCTCGAGCTCGCAAAGTAGGATCTGCTAGAGCCGCACAGGAGCAGTCGCGACCGCAGGTAGATATCTAGCCAGGGAAGGAAGTGGTAAAGTGGAAAGAGGCCGAACTCTCCAAAACGCCCCTTCTCTGGCCTCTTCAAAAGAGCCAGGGAAGGGACTTTGAACGGAAATCGAGATCATCTTTCACCGCGCTTCTTGTCCGAGACTGTCAAGTCTCTGCAGCTAGAATGTCTTACACAACAACGACGGCCCGGCTGCAACTCACTTCCCAGAGTTCCAGGTTTCTGAGGCTCGCACAGCGCCGGCGCAAAGAAGCCAAAGTATCACGATTAGGAGCGGTGAAACGAAGGCGTCACCTATGATGGCCTTGCAGATGAAAGGTGAGGGCGTGCTGAATCTGACATCACGAACGCGTGAAGGCATAATGCAAGGTGACGCTATCAAAGAGCCAAATGCCCACTGAGTTCCATATCAAAGAACCACAGTCACGACATCCAATGCCATGTGTGAGAGCGCAAATAATGGCAAGAGTCTTACATAGAGGCTGGATCGGCAATATAAACATAGCTTCATGGCTTGCAGTGGCTTTCATATGAGCATGGGTGGACAAGCCATGTGAACAGGCGGCTGAGAAGCCTTGTGCTTGACTCAAACCGTGTCCTTTCCACAAATGACAATTGATCCGAGACATCCATTATCACGATTTTTATGAGCCGCGAATGTCGGGAATCGAGGAGGCTGGGAATGAAACTCGAAGGGTGGTCGATATCATGATTGTTGGGACGTGCGTAACTTGAAGTTATCGAGATACCTGAGAATGTAGTTTCAAGCAAACATAGCTAGAAGCTTTGAGGCGTCGGTCGGATAAATAAACTGTTGGCGTCATGAGGCGGGCTGCCTCGTTGCTTGCCCATTGTCTCGGAACATGTTATTTTATTCATGTTCGAACTTTCCTGTTGATGGGGCAAACTTGATATTGGTCTTGCCTCTAGACTGGGATATGGCTGTGATTTGTACACCAAATCAAACAAAGAGGGCCACTTTTGAAGTTCCGATGGGACATTGGTCTGAAAAGCAGTTATCATGACTACGGTTGATGTCTCATCAAGCTCATGGCTAACAGGAGTAGCACGTACTGTGTACCTAGGTACTGGTGATTTGGATACATGCATAATTGCCGTGCTATCTCGAGGTACCTACAACAAGATGTGGAATCTTGATGACTGGAGATACTCTCTGGAACTCGATTAATGATTGCAGTTGTTGGACTTTTCTCCTCTTGGCCTCTCCACTGACCCTCTTCTCCATCACCAACTTCATCATCAATTGGCGAGGACGGGCTACCCGGCAATCGTCAACTTGGCACACGTCGACTCGAGCCCAAGTCTCGTGTCTTTGTGTAAGCCAGGCTGGCTCGGCATCGTGGCGGTGCAAAGAGGAGCTAGGCCGGAGAGGGGCAAAGTGGACGTCGATGGACCCCTGAGGCGAGGACCGGGCTTTGAGGGTTCCAGGGGAAACCTCAGTGGCTTTCCAGGGGTCTCCAGTGGACGAGCGATCCATCATCGAGGACCGGGCTAGGCAGAAAGCGTGCGCCGGGGGTGTGGGGGGTTGTGCTGGCCGACTGTCCGAAAGCCGTGGCCGTGGACGGACAAACGAACACGTTGGACTTTTTGGCAGGCGAAGAGTTTCGGGGGAGACGAAAGCGGAAAAGGTAGCCTTCCATGTCCGCGATTCAGATCCCCAATACTATTCCTCCCCCATTTGTGAGGTACTTGGTGGTTGCCACGTGCGTGGGTCCTTTCTCGATCGCCTTGCCTTACTCTCTGCCTTTCCCGTCGTGACAAATCTACCCTTAGGTTCCATCCATTGCCATGACACCTGTGATTACCTCCGGTACTGCCTCGTGTCTTTTCTCTCTTTTTCCTTGACTAGACTTCTTCGGTGGCTCTTTTCTCTGCTTCTTCTTTTTTCCTCTTCTTTCGCTCTAGAGCCTCATCCCCCAACCCCCATCGAGTCCTCTCATTTGTCGCAAACCGCTAGACATCTGCTCGTCCATCTCCGTGAAGCCTCGTCTCGTGCGCTCGCCTCGCGCGCTGCCTTCAACCATGGAGAGCGCCTTCGCCCGCCCTGTCGACGAAGTCCTCGCCAACTTTGACGTCAATCAGACCAATGGTTTGAGCGACGCGCAAGTTGATGAACTTCGCAAGAAACATGGGCGCAACTGTACGTTGACCTCTTGGCCCCCCGCGACAGCCCCGCTACTGGCCTCGACTGTAATCTAACTTTTGTGCAGCTATTCCAGATGAACCCCCGACTCCTCTGTGGGAGCTTATCCTCGAACAATTCAAAGATCAGCTTGTTATTATCCTATTGGGTTCCGCGGCCGTCTCCTTCGTCTTGGCCCTCTTTGACCAAGAAGAGGGTTGGAGCGCCTTCGTTGATCCCGTAGTTGTGAGTCCTCCACCAAGATATCTGATATTGCCCGGGACATGGCGCTGACCAACTTGATACTGTCAGATTCTCACTATCCTCATTCTCAATGGCGTCGTCGGAGTCTCCCAAGAGAGCAGTGCGGAAAAGGCCATTGCTGCTTTGCAAGAATACTCGGCCAACGAGGCCAATGTTGTTCGAAATGGTGGTCATGTCTCCCGAGTCAAGGCCGACGAGCTGGTTCCTGGCGACATTGTCACTGTGTCCATTGGCGACCGTATTCCTGCCGACTGCCGAGTTGTCGCCATCGAGAGCAATAGTTTCGCTGTTGATCAGGCTATCCTCACTGGAGAGAGCGAGAGTATCGGAAAGCGCGCCAGTACCGTTGTCGGAGACGAAAAGGCCGTTTTGCAGGATCAGACAAATATGCTGTTCTCTGGAACCACCGTTGTTACTGGTCGCGCGAGAGCCGTCGTTGTTCTGACGGGTTCCAACACCGCTATCGGAGATATTCACGAGAGCATCACTGCTCAGATCTCGGAGCCGACTCCCTTGAAGCAGAAGCTCAACGACTTTGGTGACAACCTGGCCAAGGTCATTACCGTCATTTGCATTCTGGTCTGGCTTATCAACATCCCCAACTTCAACGACCCCAGCCATGGAAGCTGGACCAAGGGCGCCATCTACTACTTGAAGATTGCTGTTTCTCTTGGCGTTGCTGCTATTCCTGAGGGTCTTGCTGTCGTCATCACTACCTGCCTCGCTCTTGGAACTAGAAAGATGGCCGCTAAGAATGCCGTGGTTCGAAGTCTTCCTTCTGTCGAGACCCTGGGAAGCTGCAGCGTCATCTGCTCCGACAAGACTGGTACTCTGACCACTAACCAGATGAGCGTCAGCAAGGTTGTGTACCTCAACGAGGACGGCAGCGATCTTAACGAGTTGGATGTTGAGGGTACTACCTTTGCCCCTCGAGGAGCCATCAAGTCGAACGGCGAGGTTGTTCAAGACCTCCACAACTCTTCTGCCACTCTTCGTCAAATGACCGAGGTTGCCGCTATTTGCAACGATGCCCAGCTTGCCTATGATTCCCGGACTGCCACCTTTGCCAGCATTGGTGAACCCACTGAGGGTGCTCTGAGAGTTTTGGTTGAGAAGATTGGACCTTGCGCTCCGGCCGATACTCGCCCTGAGGACTGCGTTCACTACGCCAGCTCGGTATACGAAAAGACCCTGCCCCGGCTTGCTACATACGAATTCTCCCGTGATCGAAAGAGCATGTCAGTCTTGGTTCGCAACGGCAACGAGAAGAAACTCCTGGTCAAGGGCGCTCCTGAATCCGTCATTGAACGTTGCACACAGACTCTTCTTGGACCTGGTGGTAACAAGGCGCCTCTTAGCAAGAAGGTTTATGAGCGTTTGATGAGCGAGGTTGTGCGATATGGTAACCATGGTCTCCGAGTTATTGCCTTGGCCAGCATCGACAATGTCCCTGAGACTCCTCTTCTTCAGTCCGCTACAACCACCGAACAGTACGCCCAGCTTGAGCAGAACATGACCTTCCTTGGACTTGTCGGCATGCTTGATCCTCCTCGAGAGGAGGTCCCTCGCGCTGTCCAGCGATGCAAGGATGCCGGTATTCGTGTCATTGTCATCACTGGAGATAACCGCAACACTGCCGAGAGCATCTGCCGACAGATTGGCGTCTTTACTCAACATGAGGACCTCACCGGAAAGAGCTACACTGGCCGCGAATTTGATCAGCTTTCTCCCGATGAGCAGCTTGAGGCAGCTAAGCGAGCATCTCTATTCTCTCGTGTGGAGCCTGGTCACAAGTCGCGTCTCGTTGACCTGCTTCAGTCCCTGGGTGAGGTTGTTGCCATGACTGGCGATGGTGTGAACGATGCCCCTGCCCTCAAGAAGGCCGATATTGGTGTTGCCATGGGCTCCGGAACTGATGTCGCTAAGCTGGCCGCCGACATGGTCCTCGCTGACAGCAACTTTGCTACTATCGAGGTTGCCATCGAGGAAGGCCGCTCCATCTACAACAACACCCAGCAGTTCATCCGCTACCTGATCTCTTCCAACATTGGCGAGGTGGTTTCCATCTTCCTGACAGCTGCTCTTGGCATGCCCGAGGCTCTTGTTCCTGTCCAGCTTCTGTGGGTTAACCTGGTTACCGATGGTCTTCCCGCCACGGCTCTGTCTTTCAACCCTCCCGACAACGACATCATGAAGCGCCGACCTCGCAAGCGAGACGAAGCCCTGATTGGCGGATGGCTCTTCTTCCGGTATCTCATCATCGGCACCTATGTTGGTCTTGCCACTGTTGCGGGCTACGCTTGGTGGTTCATGTATAACCCCGAGGGTCCTCAGATTACCTTCCGCCAGCTGTCTCGCTTCCATCACTGCTCAGCCGACTTCCCCGAGATTGGATGCCAGATGTTCTCCGACGACATGGCCAAGGCCGCGTCGACCGTTTCCCTGTCGATCCTGGTCGTCATTGAGATGTTCAACGCCATGAACGCCCTGTCATCGAGCGAGTCTCTTCTTACTCTTCCTCTGTGGAAGAACATGATGCTTGTGTATGCCATTGCCTTGTCCATGGCCCTGCACTTTGCTCTCCTCTACGTCCCCTTCCTCCAGTCGCTGTTCTCCATCCTCCCCCTGAACGTGTTGGAGTGGAAGGCGGTCGTTATCATCAGTGCCCCCGTTATGTAAGTTGATATCTAGTCCCGCTTGAAGTCTCATAGCAGTTGCTGACCATCTCCAGACTCCTTGATGAAGTGCTCAAGGCCATTGAGCGACAATTCTTTGTGCAGACGACAACCGACACGTCTCTCAAGGAAAAGAAGGAGCAATAGAGAAGGATACAGTAGAGATTTGGGGATCTGGCTCAGGCTAGAAGTTTACTAGAATCTGCGTGTACCATATGGTAACAGCTCGAAAAAGCTGAGATAGACCTAGATGGCCGTAATGGCCTTTGATAAAGAAATTCGTAAACTCGGATTATTGGCAACGATTCGTCCAGATGCATGCACGGCCATATAACACAGCGACGCCTGCACAGGATGATCAGTGGCTGCTTGCTTGCTCGGCGTGCTGATGCACTCATTACCCAGCGGTTGTATCGACCGAGTATCTATTCATACAAGATACATGAACCACCATTCTGTCCCCCGCTCTACATTCCCAGGCCTTTCCTTTCTGAAAACGCCGCTCTAATCCTGTCGGCCCTTTAGTAATCGCTTGGTGACCTTGTCCTTCTCAATAATGTAAACGTGTGCGCCCCAACCGGATAGAGCGTCACGGTCAACGGCGTTGAGCAGTGACTGGGAGATGGTCTCAAAGAGGGCATCGGGTTCCTAAGGAGCGGTGTCAGCATTGTTTCATAGCATATAGCAAGGGATCGTCGAGGAACATGTCCCATCGTCATACGCACCATATCAGGCTCCCAGAGACCCTCACACATGCCAAAGAGCTGCTCTGAAGCGGTTCCCGAGACGATAAAGTCCTTGGCAAAGTCGATACAGCCGATGCTGTCGAAGCCGCAGATGAATGGTTTGCCGGTCTTGGGGTCGAGGCCGGCGACGACGGGAGAGACAAAGTAGGGACCGAAGCGGCGCTCGTAGAGGGACGACGAGACGAGGTTGGCAAAGGTGCGGGGAGCGATGGCGCGCTCCTCACGCAGGCGGTACATGTTTGTCTTGTAGCGGAAGAGGTCGCTGACGGTGTTGACGTCGGTGGCCAGGCCGGTCAGGCCGAGGAAGACGTCGCCGTACTGGAAGATCTTGGGGAAGTTGTTGGAGACGGTGAGGGCCTGGAGACCGAGGCGGAGATCGCAGGCGATGGCGACACAGTCCTTGCCGACCATGGCGACGCAGGCGCCGCCGTCTAGGAGGGGAGGGTTAGTTGGGGTGAGCTTTCGAGGGCGAGCGAGATGGACCAACTTATCGAGAAGGGAGACGACTGATGGGAAGAGTATGGTTAGCTTGATGGGACAGATAGAGGCTCGAGCAATCGATATCGACGTACCATGGTGGCTTCTGACGCTGTAGATGATGGATGGGAGATGCGAGGTCGGACAAGTCAACAGGACAAGGCAGCGTCAATCACGACGGTCTTGTCAAAGAGAACGCAAGAACAGATTCCTCGGGGGACGCTGCAGGCCTGAAAAGTGGCTAATTACAGGTGCTGGCGTATTTCGCGGTTCCAGTTGTATCGTCGACGTCGAGGTTGATGGAGTTGCGAGAGCAGATGGTTGAAGCTCCCCCAGAGCTTCAAAGGCGTAACTAAAGGTACGTACTGCACACACTTGCCAGGCTGGGCGGGCTGGCTGGCTGCAAGGCAAACACGTCTGGCGCGGCCGGGAAAATCCACGTTGGCTGGGGCAGCCTGGGAGGTGTGGCGCTGAGGCTCAACTGTGGCTTATGTAATGTCTCTCACTTAACACAGCGAGAAGACAAGAGACAACACAGTTCAAGGAGATTGAACGGATATTTGCTCAAGCATTCAGGTTGATGCAATATCTCGCATGTATATAAAAAGATGCATATGATTTATTTGCGCCTATAGAGTTTGTTGAAAGCATCTCCTTCTGTATGCACACCTCAATAGTGTCCATGACTGCAACCTCACTGATAGCTCCCGTTCCCTGCTAGTGGCAGAGGTTACAGCATACGTCCCCAACCAGGGCGATTGACACACCTGTACTGTAGTGTAGTGATAGAAGCTTCCAGTCAACTGTCCATACAATCGAACAAAATCGAATCCTCCCCTAAATCCTTGCTGGTAGAAATAGTCCAATACATCACCAGTGGTTGCCTGGCTCAGCTGCCTAGGCGGTTGTGCTCCCCAGACTGCACGTACCCCGCCATTGCTCTGGCCTTTGCTCTTTACCAACTGCTTACATCACCGCCTGGCAGCTAAAGCTCAACTCTCCCCACGCCCTCGACCTCGAACAATAGACCTATATTATCAACATCTACCTCTTCAACCTAAGCCCCTCTTTAGACCATGGCCTCCCACGTCGTGGTGATAGCCACCGACTTGCGGCGGGCGACGGTCAAAGTCACCCCTGGCACGTACTTGACCGATGTCCTAGAGGAGGCCTGCAGGAAGCTCGGTCTCTCTAGCGACAAGTATCTTGTCAAGTGAGTTCCCTTGTTTCGCTTCTCCTTCGAGGCCATACTGATCATATCTACTCCTAGACACCGCCAAAAGCAGGTGGACCTTTCTGTCCCCTTCCGAACATCTGGTCTCATCCCCGGCGCAAAGCTCGAGCTCGTCCTAAAGTCCAAAACACCCTCCGCCATCCAAGTCGGTCTCCAGGTCCCGCCCCCCGAGGGTCGCGAAATCCCCGGCGGCCGATTGATCCAGAAGTTTCCCAGCGACCTCACCCTCTGGAAGGTGCTACGCCAGTTCGAGAGCGGCAAGGCGAGCAATGGCAAGAACATCAACATCACCGCCCGTGGCGTCGCCCAGACGTCCAGCGGTACAGGAAGCGGTGGCGGACAACTATACTACGAGATTCCCGTTCTCAACATTATGGGTCGTGAGCTATCTTCGTTTGCCGACTTTCAAAAGACATTGTCACAGCTTGGATACAACTCTGGCAGTGTTCTTATTAGGTTGACCTATCGGAAGACGGATCAGACCTTGTTCGATGCCATGTCCGAGATAAGCGAGTACTTCAAGGAAACAGAAGAGGAGGCTAAAGAGCCAGAGGCATCAGGAGCTGCAGGAAATGAAAAGGAACCAGCAGAGACATCCAAGGAGGCAGAACCTCAACCCCAGGAGACCGAAGACACTCCCATGACAGACCCCAACCCAGAACCAGATCAGGAGTCGAGTCGTAACCAGCAAGAGGAAACCAGCGCCGCAGACGAGAAACCTGAAGAAGAGGACAAGATGGATGTGGAACCCTCTCAACGAAGAGATCCTCTAGAACCAGTCAACGTCTTCCTTGCGCCTTCAGGCTCAACTCCTGCGGCAGCTCTCGCCCCATCCAGCGAGACCGACTTTACTCCCACCGTTGCTCATGCTCAACTTCATCAGGCTCGTCTACAGGAAGACTCGAGAAACAGGCGACTACCCTCGGATCGAGAACTTGAGGACAAGGCCGCGGCTGAGGCGGCCAAGATCGCTGCCATCAAATCCGTCCTCGTCAAGGTCCGTTTTCCGGATAACACCAGCAGTGACTGGCAGGTTGGCCCAGCTGACACGGGTCGATTCCTGTACGACGCTGTTCGACATGTCATGGCCCACGATGATCAGCCCTTCCACTTGGTTCTCCCAGGGACCAAGACTGTTATTAACGACAACTCCAATCCCGGCAATGAGCTCATCAAGTCCTACAAGCTGACAGGACGCATTCTCATCAACTTGGTGTGGGATAACGCTGTACCTCCAGCAGTGCGGAAGCAGCCCTTCCTCAAAGCCAATGTCGCGCAACAGGGACAGGAGGTCAAGATACCTGAGCCCGTGGAGACTCAAGATAGTAAGGACGATGGGCCGGCCGTGGCTCGGCCATCAAGAGCTGAGGCAGGCGAAGGAACGGGAGATAAGATCGCCAAGAAGATACCCAAGTGGCTGAAGCTGGGAAAGAAATAGACGGTTTTGGCAGTTACTGGAAGAGTAGTCTCCATGGCATGCATTCAAGGGTCACGGGCGGCGTTGGTTAACATTATTTTTTATGTTTGGTTGGACGAAACCTGAAGCGTATTATATCTCTACTGTCTCTGTTAGACTGTTCTGATCCAGTCATTGGCTTTGTCGAGCCATTCTCTTTGGCATTGATCCATGCTACAGCGATGTAGTTGTACATATTTGAGCTCATGGAACAAAGCGTCACAAGGGAGAGCATAGTCACGTTGTAGCAGATAGGGAGCATGGCATTGTCATAACGCCATAAAATGTCTTCAGAGTATTGGTATTCCGGTGAGCCGCAGCTAAATCCCTGCCACGGAGCATCAAAGCCGTTTCATTTTTTAATCGATCAAATCGTGACCACGCCAATCCATGCGAACCCCTTTCGGTGCCAGATTCCCAAAAATCAGATTAGACGATTTAGTGACCCGCGCGGCGAGCCTCGGCGATGACGCGCTGGAGCTCGTCGACCTTCTTCTTGGCACGGCCGAAGGTACCGAGCTGTTGTCATGTCAGTTTGGATCTGATGTTGTGTGTATGTGTCGGGTCGACGTACTCTCTTCTTGGCGAGCTTACGGGCACGCTTGTCCTTGCTGTTTCGGAGCAACTCAATGACTCGGCGCTCGTAGGGGGCAAGACTGTTAGATGGTGGTTAGCGAACTGTTGTCAGAGGTATAGAACCAGTCTCCAATCGCCAAGACAGAGCAGACAGTCCAATGGAAGATTTTCCCAATGGCAGTAATGCCTTTCCCATCTGTCCCCCTCTTGCATCCATTCCCAATCCTCTTCCCTCGTATCCTCAAAGAAAAAGTGACTTACCCAGCAACCTCCTTGACGACCTCACGGACGAAAGCGGTGCGCTTGCTCAGGTGACCCTTGGTCCGGGAGACACGGGGCTTGACGACACGGGGAGTGGTTTTCTGTAGATCCGCAAAAGGCGCAAAATGTCAGCGTCCATCGTCTGCTAATTCAAAAGAGAGAAGTCGACAATCTCTCATCCGTGGCGAAGCAGCAGAGATCCTCCACGAGGTGAGACTGTGACAGGGAGACGACGTACGTGGCCCTTGTTGAGGCCGACGGCCAGACCGGTTCTCGCGGGGGCTTCAGCGGCCATTGTGCTGGATGGGTTAGTGAGGCTGAAGAGGGTGGTTGTCGAGAAGGGAAGAAAGGAGGGGATCTTCGCGATAGAAAAAAAAGTTTTGGTGGTTGTGCGAAAAGACTGGGGTGGATTATTTTCGCGCTTGTGGGTCACGTGCTGGAGGGTTCGAGGTGTTGTGTGCGGTCGAGAAGCGCCTTTGACCCACAGAGGAAGAGGACCACAGCTAAGCTCATGAGGTGGATCTCAATGGATCTCATGATGGGCAAGGCCGAGTTGGCTTCAGATTGTAAAGCACACTTATTCGTGATGAGATGAGTTACCTTTACAGGCATCTTCATGGCTTCTCAATATCAGGCTTTATTGAGGCAAACTTCCTCACGCCATGTTAAACTGACCATTTAGAACTGCCTATCCTCTCTACAGTATTCTAGGTTCCAGATGGAAAGCCTGGCGAATACGAAGAAACAGTCTCAATACTTGAAGTGACAGCATCTCCAAAACATTCATGCTCCTCCGTTAAAAGGTGGCTGTGGACCGCCAGCATAAGGGATAACGCAAGAATCATGCGCACATTACGATCTACACTCTAGCCCTCAAGGTTCAGTGTCCATTACAATCTTGAATGAAACCAAGGATAAACAAACACTTTTTCAAAGGAGGCCTCGGTATACAGTCAAGCCCGCTTGCATGATCAATCACGTTTCTATTCCTGTCTCACAAGACGGGAACAACCTCGCGCAAGAGTCCAAGAATATCTATCCGTTGCTATTTACTGTCGGCGGCGCATGGACGTACATACACGTCAACCCTTTGACAAGATGAAACGGGATCGGCGGCCAATGACTGCATCGCCGGCCGTTCCCTCGGATCCTCGCCCCGTCCCTTTTCACGAGTGGACATCTGGGAACTGTTTACTCCTGGCGGTTGTAGCGGGATCAGCGAGGGGGGTATTTTTGCTTGACGGCGCGCGAGTTTACCAGTAAAACTATGGCCCGGTTTTCGTGTTTCCACGGCCGCGTGTTTCGGTAAGGTTAGGGGAGACTGACGTCGTTGTCTCCATATTGTGAATCCGGCAAACTTATAATTGACCTCGTCTTGACTCGCAACTTTCTCTCTGCTGTATTATTCCATCCATCTCACTTGAGCCGCTATCACGATCTTCCCGCCCCTCCATCCAAATACTTCATAACCACCACCATACAACTGCCTTACCAACCATGCATCTCGGACTTGTCATTCTATCCGCCCTGCCAACGACCTGGGCAGCCCACGCCTACTCCGTCCCGCCAGGTCTCGTCCTTCTAGAAGCCGACGAGACCAACTCGTGTGTTCTCCCCGACGCCTACCACATCATCAATTTCAAGGGCCAGTCCAAGGACGGCGGCAAGACGCTCTCGGCCTTTGACTTTAACTTTGAGGACGAGGATACCAAGGTCAAGACGCCATGCCACAAAAACTCGTCGTCCAAGGTCGTCCCCAGCCCAGGCTCTCCGCGGTATGCCTGTGACAATGCGGCTGTCGAGTTCCTATGGGACGACGATGACCAGAAGCTCTGGATGATGGAGAAGGTCTGCGATGATTCTGACGGGTAAGTTGTCTCTCTTTGAATCCTGTATCGAGTGCTAACCCGGGACATAGAACTGCACAATGGGAGGCCGGTGGCAGTGCCATCATCTCGCTCAAGTGCGGGAGATCAGGCAGCTGCACAAGCAACTCGACGGACCATCGGGCATTGTTCACCAGTCTCAACCCTGTGAGGAAGACACCGCCGTCCTAAGCCGATGTACTCCGAGAGTTGAACTCTTGTGATCTGATGTTTGTTCAAGAGGGCGAGTGACGGTGTCATTTGTACAACGCATAAGATGTTTGAAGGGAGCATGAGTAGAACAGAACAAGACGAGCAACACGTGGGAGAAAGAAGGGCCAGTAACAGTATTTTTGGCGATCTCGGCAAGACTCGATAGATTCACCAGTTTAATAATAGAGCTCATGAGAGAAATCCCATCACCAACCACTGTCAATGACCAGAACAAGTCCGTGAATGACAGTTGAGCGATCCTCAAAGAAGAGACCGTCAGCTCCAGATGCCGTCCACGCGCTAGGAAAGAGTGGGTCCCCACTGGAAATCTGGGGTAGTGCAGAAGCCTCCCAGCCACTCACAGCAGCCCAAATCATCTCCCAGCCGCTGAAATCATGCACCCCAGGCAGGGCCAGACCACTCTTCCCTCCTCCGTTTGTCAGGACCAGGGACGGAGGGTACCTCCTCGGCCGCTCGCATTCGCCGCCCCGGGCCAAGTACCTCTTGTCCAACAGTCTGCCGTATGACCTCAACGAGTCAAACGCCCTCACGGGACCTTGGGGACAATTGAGGCCTGATCTTGAGGCCTGGCACTTCCCGTCTGGAGCCTTGAAAGTTACCTCACTTGATCTAGATCGTCATTCCATTGGGGCCCAGCCTCAAGCTTCGCCCTCCCCAACAAAAGGCGACCTGCATCTCTCCTCTATCCCAGCTTTCAACGAGCCTCTGCTGAGGGTACGCCTATCTCTGGATAACGCGCCGTCATCCAATCTTGACTGCCTTCCTATTGGGATCAAAACCTCGACTCTCGACATGCCCGAGTGAACGCCGCGCCACATCTTACTCTGGTACAGCTCAACTCGTCATACACCTCAATTCACCATGCGGCTGAAATCTATCGCCTCTGCGAGGCTCTTTGCCTTGCAGCTCGCCATCACAACCCTGGTCCTTTCCCTTCAGATACCACCTCAGCACGGCTCTGCTGCGACTTCGCAAGCAACCACGCCTAAAAGCATATCAGTATCTCTCTTTGCAACACTGGAGCGCCTCTCTCGCCTTGTCGACATTTCCTACTGTATCGGCACAACTGGCGTCAGGAAGCCCTTTGAATGCGTGTCCCGCTGCAGCGACTTCCCAAGTTTGTCCCTCATCACCACATGGAATACTGGTCCTCTTCTCGGCGACAGCTGCGGCTACATAGCTGTCGACCATGGCGTGGGGCAGCGAGGGGATAGTGACGCCTACACTGCAAGCCAACCCGCTATTGTGGTGGCTTTCCGGGGCACTTACAGCATCACAAACACCATAGTCGACTTGAGCACCGTGCCGCAAGAGTATGTACCGTATCCGTCTCCCGGCGACGGTGACGAAGAACCCCCCAAGAAGCCAGAATACGAGTGTACCAACTGCACTGTACACATGGGCTTCCTCGACTCTTGGAAGAACGCCAGGCGTCTTGTCCTCCCGCAGCTTCGGCAGCTGAAAACTCAGTATCCATCATACCCGATTCAACTCGTGGGGCATAGTCTTGGAGGCGCCGTTGCCTGTCTTGCGGCGCTGGAGCTCAAGGTATCCTTAGGCTTCGACGATGTGATCGTTACAACGTTTGGCGAGCCTCGAGTTGGGAATGACGGGCTCGCTCGTTTCGTAGACGAGGTTTTCCAACTAGACGGTCGCGAAAATCTTGAAGAGCGCGACTATAGACGGGTAACTCACAAGGAAGATCCCGTCCCTCTACTTCCCCTAGGCGAATGGGGCTACAAGTCACACGCGGGCGAGATATACATCGCCAAACAGCAACTTTCTCCCTCCGAGGCCGACATCCACCTCTGCGTGGGAGACAACGATCCAGCATGCATTGCCGGGGCAGACGATTCTGTCTGGTCGGCATTGCGCCGTCTGCTCCACGCCAGAAGCGTCCCGGCGGATTCGGAAAAGTCGGTGCAGGCGGAAGGCTTCCCCTCGAGATTCAAGCTGTGGCAGCTCCTCTTTGCCCACCGGGACTATTTCTGGAGACTGGGGCTTTGCGCGCCGGGAGGCGATCCTGCGGACTGGGGTAGAGGACCATACCAAGGTCCAGATACGGAGGAGCTCTAGCTTTCTTTGAGTCATTACTGGGGGAGTTTCTGAGCGTTTATTCATTATATTCAAAAAGTCTCTGATCTATCATGTATCATATCATATAGTCTTAATTGATGTTGTTACAACAATACAACTGTTGTTGGTTGTCGAGTGCTGTTGGGACCGGAGGGCAACGGGACAATCGGAGAATTTCCAGATATTCTGCAAGAGACTCTTGGCTGAAGTGGAATTTTCCATCATCCTTGACTCGCAAGCGGGGAAAGGTAGTCTACACCGCAAGGTTGAGAAAAATAGGAGAGTTGAATCAAGGGGATAGAGAATGAGTTGACAACTGGGTCTTCAGAGAAGTCGAAAAATACTGTCATCCTCTGGCTTACGTCTCGTTGTGCAACTCCTGGCTACACGAGCTTCAGATAGACATCAACATCGTTCATGCTAACGACTGACTTCCTTTCACCGCATGAATCTCTCTCAGAAAGAGCATGGGGGTTATGGAAACCTTGTCACTCGGTGAGCGAGATAAGCCCATCCATTGGCAGTGGGTCTATGTTGAACAACCTCAACTCCCAAGGGTATCGTCAAGTTGTCTAAGAATGTCCACTTACAAAGGCCAGTGAGTCCTGAATACGGTACACAGAATAGAGATTTTTCACTTGAGCGGAGAGGGATTTTCCCGAGACCACCTACCGCCCTCACGGCCTCGCATGTACATGTAGGTCGGAAGATGGCATCATGGGCCGTGTTCGGAACCCTGCGAGTCCCCGAATGCCAACTCACAACTCGGCCTGGCTGCCCACTTGGACTCCCCGGCCACGCCCGGCGGGCTAGACCGAGCGGAGAGCTCCACCAAAGGAACATGAGCTGGGCTGGGCTGGGCATGCCATGATAAGGGTCCCGACGTCTAGCCTGGCAGAGCCGAAAAGCACCCGGCAACGTTGTTATGCCTTGGATAGGCGTGTTTTGGAGAGATGAGCTTTTGGGTTGCCACGGGGTCAAGTCGGAGGGTATGAGCAGCGAGAAGCAGAGAGACACGTCTGAGCTGGATGAGGCGAAACCGGTTTCTGCGGCCGTCGTGGAACGTGGCTCCGGATGATTGCAGATGGGTCTGTGGGGACAGAGAGAAAAGGAAACGAAACCGTTTCTGTTCTGTTGGCAGGCGGAGGCAACATGGGTGGGATAGAGGCAAGAGATGCGAACCCAGAGGAATACCCTCGGCCGTTCCAGATGAAAGAGAGTAGCGTCCAATGGAAGGCGACTAGTTGACAGATGCGCGACTATAGCCTGGCTCCAGAGTCTCTTGAAACGGACGAGAACAGATGGGAGGTAGGCGAAACGATGGGAGACCAGGATGGAGGCCAGTGGTCCAGCAACGCACAGTTCCCGCATCCAGGTTCGTGGATTTTCCCGGCCAAGGACAAGGACAAACGTGTCGAGCGAGACGTGTGGCAGGCAACCAGACCTGGGCGGGGTTGCAAGGGAAGGGCAATCAAATCATCCAATGTCAATAAACACGCCAGCAGGGATAGTTGAGAGCGAGATGGGCAGATCTCAAGATTCGATGCGGTGCAGAGCAATCTTGAGAAGAAAAAAAAGGACGGATATCTAGTAGCCGCTGTCAGGGCAGGCTAGCATCGTGAGCGAGCTAATCCCCGTCATGATGCCTGGACTTGAAGCTGCGAGCAATGACCGAACGACCTCGGGTCTTGATGTGGTTCCCAATCATCAAGACGAGTCGTCCCAGCGACGAGACGAGAAGTGGACAGTGTCGTTGACTGGTTGGCCCTCAGACACTGGCGTGGGCGGCTAATACAAGGCTGTCGACGAGGAGAAATGAGTTCATACCTACCAGAGGCTCAGCCCGGCCAGTCACCATGTGTCGCGTGCGCTCACAGGTAAATGAGCCAAATAAGGATGCTGGGCGGTTTTGTTTCGTTTGGACCTCCAAGCGTACGGTACAGTAGGTACAGGTTGCCATGTGTTGGGCTGCATTGGCGGATACTGGGTCTGCCATCCTGGATATCTCATCATCCGCGCGGGCGCGAGATGTCGTGTGTGGCGGCGAGAGGACAAAAGACCCAATCTAAGGCATCAAGCACGTCCTCAGCCCCAATGAGGCTGGCCTAGGACCTCTATCAGAAGCGGCATCGTCAGGGTGAATGCATATCGACGTCCGTCCGAGTGACTTGTTGATTTCCTGTAGGCGCTGGCAAGAGGCAGAGAGAGGTGGCAGACACGTGCGCATCTCCAGCCAGGCGGGTGCGATGGCGGGCGCGCTGGGCCTCAGGAGAAATGAACTGGAGGGATTCAGGTGGCCCGGGCACGACGGCAGCGTTTGTGTTTGTTTGATCCATGGAAGAGGGGTGAACGAGATGGAACTTGGATGGAAACGTCGTCACTTTTTTTTTTGCGCTCACGTGGCTGTGAGGTGCCGACATGAGCTGGCACCTGGCACCCAACTTCTGGCACCTGGCGTCTGGCACCTGGCAGGCCGCACCGAACCGAAGCCACGCACCGCACCGCACCGCACCGTACCGCGTATGAAAGCCATCCATCCAAGAGTGAAAAAGGTGCCTTGACTTAGCGCACTCCGTCAGGTCCCATCTGTTGTTAATTTTGCAGCGGGAGACGAGTCCGTCCCTTGTTTCCCCTTTTCTCCCAGCAGACATCACCGCCCTGTAGTGAATGAATGAGAGCGGTGACTGGGTTATGACGGCACTAAGGATGCAGGCTAACAGTTGTTTTTGGCCGTCTGGAAAAACCGGGTGCCAAAATAAACCAACACCCCCTTTGCTGAAGGGCTGCGCGCGCAGAACCCGCCGGAGAGGACCCCGCCTCGCCCAGGCGTCAGGCCCTCCAAAAATTAGCGGATGCAGCCCTGAATCCCCCGCAGGGTACCAGCCAGGGCTGCCAAAATCAATGCGCGAAATAGGGACGCGCACACAAAACTCGCACATGCCTGCCTTACCTGCGCCGGTTCTCAACGCCTGACCTGCGTCCCACCTCCACAGCCAGGCAAGGTCCCTCTTCTCACCCGCTACCTCTCACATCCACATCCACAGCCCATCCTCATCCCTCCCTCCTCATTCTACTTGCGCACCCCCCAAATCTCAAACCTCCAAAATTTCCCATCTTCTCACTCAACCTCTCCCTCTCTTTTTCTCTCTCACGACCGCTTCCTCTTTTTCACGAATAATACCCCCCGAATCTTTTCACCATGACCACCGAGGTAAGTATCGATACATCCGCTTCCCCTCCTCTATTCTCGCTGTGCCCTTTTCCCTCTCCGCCTGGTCGGTCTCGCCTCAGCCCGCACAACCCCTCAGTCGAGCCCAAACACCGACGCTGTCAACACATCGACGTCTCGAGCCCGCGATCCACGATCCTTGGCCTGCGGCGATCGGCTATGCAGCTTGCGATCCTCTTCTGATTCTTCGCCGCGGTCTCGGGCGGCGCTGGTTGCCCCCCTGCTTGCCATCTCCATCCCCTCCCATCTCCCTAGTCAAGACGGTTTCAAGATGCTGACTTTTTGGTGCTGCAGCGTGAAAGGTTTGTCCAGATGGCCCTCTGCCGCCTCCCCCGGGCGCTCCCGTCGCTCTCCCCTCGTCGCCTAGTCCGGCCGGGGACGAGTTGATGCCACCGAAAGAAAGACGCCGTATCGCTGACCTCGTACGTGTTACCACTTTGCAGCAAGACCTTCCTGGCCCGCCTCTGCGAGCAGGCCGAGCGCTACGATGAGATGGTCACCTACATGAAGGAGGTGGCCAAGCTGGGCGGCGAGCTCACCGTCGACGAGCGCAACCTCCTCAGCGTTGCCTACAAGAACGTTGTCGGCACCCGCCGTGCCTCGTGGCGCATCATCTCCTCGATCGAGCAGAAGGAGGAGTCCAAGGGCTCCGACAAGCACGTCTCCACCATCAAGGAGTACCGCAACAAGATCGAGACCGAGCTCGAGAAGGTCTGCCAGGATGTCCTCGACGTTTTGGATCAGTTCCTCATCCCCAACGCCGCCACTGGCGAGTCCAAGGTCTTCTACCACAAGATGTGCGTTTTTATCTTCCCCGCCTCTGGCCTGAGGCCCCTCGCATCCCGCCTTTTTTTTGGGTGCTGGATCAACCACCACTCATCATCGCCCCCCTCCCCGCATGACTCTTCCGATATCTCAACACTGCAATTTTTCGCGTCCAGAAAGCTGACCAGGGTCTTTCCCCGCCTACAGGAAGGGTGACTACCACCGCTACCTCGCTGAGTTCGCCTCTGGTGAGAAGCGCAAGGGTGCTGCTACTGCTGCCCATGAGGCTTACAAGGTGAGGCTAAGTTCCCCCCACCGTCACATGCCGCAAGATCCGGGCCCCCTCGTGCCCCCCGCTGACTGATTGTGCCCAACCACAGAGCGCTACCGACGTCGCTCAGACTGAGCTCACTCCCACTCACCCCATCCGCCTGGGTCTTGCTCTCAACTTCTCCGTCTTCTACTACGAGATCCTGAACTCGCCCGACCGTGCTTGCCACCTCGCGAAGCAGGCCTTCGACGATGCCATTGCCGAGCTCGACTCTCTGTCTGAGGAGTCTTACCGCGACAGCACCCTGATCATGCAGCTCCTCCGCGACAACCTCACCCTCTGGACCTCGTCCGACAGCGCCGAGGGCGAGGCCGCTGGTGCCGACGCCCCCAAGAAGGAGGAGGGTGAGGCTGCCAAGCCCGCCGAGCAGGCTGAGGAGCCCAAGGCCGAGGAGCCTGCGCCCGCTGCCGCCTCTTAAGTCTGTTTCCAAATCCCTCGATACCACGTGCGTCTCGGCATATAGGAACCGAGATGTATTCTCGCCCCGGCTACTCTTGTCTGCCCCCGGACACACGGATAGCTGGGCCTGTCTTGGGCGGGCTGGATGATAGTACGAGGCTTCTTTTTTGCGCAGTGCGTTGCTTTTTTTCATGGCGAGGGAGAGGGAGGATCATAGGGTCTGGTTCAGGCAAAGGGAAAGTAAAGTGCACGGCGTGGAATCTTCATCTCGTTCGTCCGTCGGACTCGGAAATCGACCGCCAAACACCATGACGGTTATTTTTTTACCTGGCAGATAAATCGCAAAGCTCTCCCCCTTTCATTCATCCGTCCGTCGCTTCTTTTCCACACCTTTTACCTAACTACATTTGTGTCCCTCACACCCGATATCTATCTCGATGGATCGTCATGGAGAAGGGCTTTCTCATGTTACCCGTTTCCTTGTCTCTTGACGTCGTTGTTGTTTCCCCCCGAGTATCATTTTTGCCCCTTCATGTCTATTGGCTCGTTTCTAAACGTCCCCTCGGAGCAGAGGCAGCGGAGATGTTTGTTTCCTGATGTTTCTATGCTCCGCAACCCCAAAAATTCCCCCTACATTCATGTTCACGGACTTGACACGGCACCGAAGAGGAACGACGGAACGTTTCGCAACTCTTGCGACCTGGCCCGAAAAAGAATCATTCTGGCGGCTCAGCTTGCTTGCCTCGGCCCATGTCACAAACACCCGGCCATCGTCTCGCACAAGTTCTCGATCCAACCAACAATGGTGAGACAGTTCTCTACGGCTCGATCAGTCGGCGACCCTGGGATGGCTAAAGATGGCAATGTTGGAGCCGGCAGTGGAGGACCGGTCTCGGTGTTTAGTGTTGTTGTCTGCAAGGACATTGATTAATGAAGAATAAATGCTATATCATGACACATGTCGACATGACCCCGGTTGCCTATTAGGAAATATTACCAGCGCCGGGCCTTTCGTGAACAAAGAGAAACGGTGTGTAGGTCGTAATCCACCGTGATGCTGTAGATGTCTCAGTTCCTCTCGGGGCCGTGGCCTAGTAATCTCGCAGCCCGCATCAACCTCTCTTGCTTCTCCCTCAAGCCGTTGGCTCCTTCGCTATCTCTCTCCAGAATGCCTCCCTCTTCCATATCGTCGTGTCCCCTCGGTCCCCGGGTCTCAAGCCCACGGTACATAGCCGTGCGGCCTTCAGGTAGTTCTGCTGCCGCGGCCGCGGCGTTCGCAGCAGCGCGTCGCTTGGGGCCGAACCGCCAGCTGATGCGCTTCCACAGGCTGCGGGACCGTGAAGTAGCTGGTGATGGAGGCGACATGCCAAAGGAGGTATCCGGGTCGGGATCCGGTGTGGCGGCCGAGGACGAGGAGAGAGATGAAGAGAGAGACGGGGCCGTAGGGAGCGAAAGGGCGGAGGCGACCTCTGTGCGCCAGATATGGATACGCTCCTGCTTTGCGGGAGGCATGAGGGGGTTGTTCCTGATGACAGGAGGGGCGTTTGCTTCTGGTGAACCAGCCATCTTGTTTTCGTATTTGTGAGCAATGCCCGGTATTTGATTGATATTGTTGATGGGATTATTGGCGTGAGGATGATGTTGATGATGATGAATCGAGTAGTTGATGATTGAGGTCTATAGCGATTTCACTCGTGGTCTTGTAGGTGGCTTGAGTCGAGGTGTTGTAAAAGGATTGATGACTCGGTTGCTCCGAGATATTCGTATTTGATAAAGTAGCGTTCAAAACGTCCAGCGATTGATGGTCGTGTCCGGTTTAACGGCCTCGACTTCGGTCTCGCCTCTTGGTCTCTATGAATGACTCGCGTCGCCCCAATCGTGCTATGTCCTGTATCTCCTCGTCTTGGTATATGGCGTGCAGCAAAAAAGAGGGAAAAGACTCGCTCGGGGTATCAAAAAGCAGTCGCTCCAACGGATGGAGCGAGACAGGAGAAGGTAAAAAAAAGGAGGAAGAAGTCGGTAAACTGGGGGGCGCCCCCCAAGATTTTGTAGAAATGACCTCGTTGAGAGAAATTGCACACGGCGAGAACCCGTCGCGAAGCTAGCGAAGCCAGGTCCCCCGGTCTCCGATCTGGGGGGGGGTGGTGAGCGGGCTTTTTAGTTGTTGACCTATTTGCGCGGCGCGGGCGGCGGGAGGCGGACCAAAGGCTTTCGATGGTTTTGCGGATCCGAATATGGACGGTTGTGTTTTTTGTTTATTGGACTATTTTCTTACTGGGTCGGGGGAATGAATTGGGGAAAGGTGAGATTTGGTGATGATTGACGACGAGGTAGTAATAAGAGGGGATCACCAGCCCGTTCTTCAAGATCGACCTCTGCCGGTTCAACTTGGGGGGTAGTAGGTCGTGTGCTGAGGATGGGGGGGCTGCCGTGCTTGGCCTTGCAGGGCAGCTTATCTCTTCCGGAAGGTAGGTAAAACGGTAGGATTTGCGGCTAACTGCAGGACGTGATTTTATCCAACGTCGGACAAAGGCGTTTGTTGCAAAAGATACTCCAAGCGTTGTTGAAGGAAGGAGGGAAAGAAGGGAGAGAGTGCCCCCCCGAGTTTAAGCATGTATCCAATGCCCGGCATCGGCTCATTCAAGGGTTAGATCTTGCTTGCGCGGGGGAGAGAGGGACGAGGCTTTTGTCCAAGGTGGTCATGAGGTCAAAGTAGCCCAGCAAGACATGGGTGCAAGGGATAGGATAGAGGGGGGTCACCGCTGTTGTTCTACAGGGTAACCAACCATAAGAAACTCACACCACCACTGTACTTCACCAGACAAGACAAAACCACCCGGCACAGGCCGAAATGTACATCATCCGACTTGCGGGTGGCGCACACCGGCCGATCTGAGCGGGACGAACCTAACGGCGAAAAAAGATTGGGACGTTTGGGTCCGCTATCTCGACGAGAAAACTGTGGCTGGATCGATGGGGAGGATAGAGAGGCACATGATGCAGAACTGTGTGGTTCACGAGTCGTGAGACAGACCGACCCTGTCCATCACCAGGTTTCACCAAGGGCAGTCTGGCCAGGTCTGATGGGAGATAATGGATGAACACTACACGGAAGAGATTCATTGGGCACACACAGGCTGTCAATGAGCTCCATCACATTGAACACCCCCCAGTCCCAAGCTGCAGAAAATCTACCAGGACCCATCAGCTGCGTAACCTGTTGCTGCACCTACATGTACTCAAACGCTTCAATCCCACAGAAACCCTAAAACGCCAAACCCACCAGACCCAGCCCAAAGATCTAACTTGGCTAAACCACTTTTTCTTTCCCATGTCCCGCTACGCTCTCGTACTCGGCTTCAGAGTCTCCCATCCTCCTACCTCCTGACCTTCGTCAAGAGAGCCCAGCAGGTCCACCGTTCCCTGCTGTTGTTGATGCGGCTGCTGCTGCAGGTGTGGTTTCGGATGCACGGGTGGTGCCGCTCGGCGTCCACCCCGGACATCCCCACCCATCATCCCGGGCAAACCCACTGCTCCGACCGGAGTTGACGGCTTCGGGCTGGAGCCGTTCATCCCGGGCTTTGGGCCTGCCACGGGCTTTCGCACGGTTGCCGCCCCAGCTCCGTGCGGATGAGGGTTTGGTACCAAACTAGCCGTGGCCGCCCTGGTGGGCAATGGAGGACGAAAATCATCGTCTATGGTGCTGTGGCTTCCCACTGGACTTGATATGGGAGATATCGTCGCCAGATGTGCTGGCTTCTTTGCTACTGGAGGCGCCGGCTTCCCACTCTTACCGTGCTGCTGCGAGGCATGTGAAGTGTGGGAGGCTTCCGAAGTAGGTCGAAGGGGCGTTGGCAGAGGCTGTGTCTGTGTCCTATTAAGTCCAAAGCCATTGCTGCCTCCCTGTCCCACTCCTGCAGTCTGCCGCCGCGGGGGTGGAGGCGGAGGCGGCGTTTCTCCTCTGCTGGCTGGTCCATGATCGTCCATCAGTGCCAGACGTCCAACCTTGGCTGGCAAAGTTGATGGATCAAATGGCGGGGGTAGCTTTCTCGGCGGGATACTTGAAGCTGATGCCATGGCATGGGGCAAGTTGACCTTTTCGAACGGCGAGCTCGACATGCTCGACAAAGAAGCCTTGGATGACGATCTCGGGATCGATATCCAGTCCGGTTCTTCAGCTTGACCAAAGGGATTCGATGGGCGACTCGGGTTAAGAGAAACCATCTGCCCATTCCTGGCCTTGGGGACAGGCACTGCCGCACGAGCAGGCTGTCCGTTGTCGAGCCACCACTTCTGGCGGTCCGAACTAGCCGGTGGCAGTCCCGGCTCTATCGAGTCGTATCCGATCAGGTCTTCATCATCGCTGTCTTCGCCCGTGCCGAGATGCGCTGTAGCGTCCCCGACCTCGGCCTTCCGGCGCTGATAGAGTTCTTGGCTGATTGACTCCCGCAGAGATTCATCCACGATGCTCACCCTGCACTCAAAGGCGGCATGGACCGGTCTGTGGTCTGAAAATTTGAGAGGCGCCGAGTTGTACAGGACTTGTCTGAGGTTAGGGCCCTTTCTCAGAATGCGATCTGTCCAAGCGGGAATGCGAGCTTTTTCACTAAGATCGTGTTAGTACAAACGAAAACAGTTAAAAAGGAGGTTTGAGCAAGCATACGAAGTATCGTAATCATCAGTCCCAATGTCAAACTTGTATGTGGGCGGAAACGTAATGCGAGCTTCCGAATAGAATGGAAATGACAGACCAGCCACCATCTGGAGGTTGAGCTGGTCATTCTCGTACAGGGCCTCAAAGTCACGCTTCTTGACTAGAGCCTTTGCAGTTTCCAAGCTCAAGCCGATGCGATAATTGAAGTCACCCAGCCAGATAACGGCATCTGTTCGTGTTAGTATGTGCTCTCCCCATTATACAGCCGTTCTGCAAAGCTTACCGTGATCATCGATGCCTCGGTTCCTCTGAAAACGCAGACCATGATGAATCGTTGCATAATCCCGATTGCGATCCTCATAGTTTGAGAAACCCGCTGCCAAATGCGCCGTGACGAAGCAGATGTGGGTGTTGGCGTAATCGAAGCGAATCGCAACAGCCCCCTTGTTTCCAGCCATGCCAGACATGCCAGTCTTTTTCACGCTGCCTTCAACGTTCTTAATGTTGGCCAAACTGGGCGTCTTTACAAAGATGCATAGCGCTGCTCCAACGAGCTGCCCGCTTCGTAGTAGTACGTACTTCTCGCCCCCTAATCGCTTCTGTCGATCATTGAGGTTGCTCTTGACAGCTTGCTCCCATAGATTCTTCCGAGATGGGTCACTGTTCATGATTTGCTGCGGACTGAGCTCCACGATTTCCTGGAAACCGACAACATAGATATCTGGCTGGGCGTTGCCCATAGACTCTGGGAATAGCCAAGGACCGAGGTCATGATCGACGCCTTCTGTTCGACCGTTGAGGTTAAACGTGCCGACCCATATTGTAATACCGTTGTACGAAGTGAACTCGCCGCCTCGCCTCGCCAACTCCGAAGACACAAAATCGCTGATGGGATCAAACAAGTGAACCGGTGCTTGTCCAACGAGACGACCCAGGAGCATGTCGATGGTGATTTGCCGAGAAGGGTCGAGGAAGTTGTTGTGATAGATGCGCTGAACAGACTTGCGCACATCGGCCACAGCACCAGACAGAGACATCTTTCCATGCCGTGTAAATGACGACTTCAACGCGCCTGTTCCAGCGTATGTCTTTGACAACGAGTCACCATTGTCTGCCCATAAACTGGAGTGCCTCATCCAAAAGTCAGAGGCTGCGAATTCGCCTCGGTGTCCAAGGAAGGCTTCGACTGCCATTTGTGAGATCATGGTCTGGATGAGGTTGGTTCGGTCCAAGCAATCCAGACAATTGGTTCGGAAAACACCCTCCTGCTGAAGCACAACTATCATGCGTGCATGCCCAGAGCCATCTTGGTCTTCCCGTGGGTCACTTGTCTCCTCTGCAAGGAAATAGGCGAAACCATCCGTCGAATCCTCAATGTAGCGGCGGATATCTCGAGCAGCTTCATACCCGGCAGGCCCCTTGGTCTCGGCGTGGAAATCGTAGTTTGTTTCCCGCAAGAGGGAACGATCCCATGAGCCATCTGGCCCTGGTCGGCTCAGGGGGCAGTGCCTGATACCGTTGTGGTAGAGCGTGCTCAACTCAACCTCACCTGGCTTGGTTTCGCTGAGAAGATTAATGACGTGGACGGCTCCGTATGATTGTTCAAGCTCCTCAAAATGCTTGTTGAATGCGGGCTGTGTACCATCCGGAGATCTAGTTATTGTGATCTTCTGACGTCCTGGGATGAGGTCGGCAGCCTGCTCCCAAAATACTGGCACGGAACCACGGACTTGGGCATACGAGAACAGGACTCCCGCCGGACTCCAGAATGTCGTCTCGGTCTCGACAAAGTTGGCAACATGCCCGTCGTCGTCAATACCTCGTGAGTTGAAACGAGTTCCGGCTCTTTGACAAGACAGGCGCGAGATGAGTGTCATGAAAGAGGGCATGCCAGTCTTGACATTCTTTATGGGCGAGGAGCTCAACGGAATGGTCATTGTCTTACAGAAACCTCTGATTGCAGAAGTGAGAATTCGCGAAGAATCAAGAGCTGACCGCTCCTGAGGCATGAGTCGTGACCGAAATTGCACCAGGGGGCTGATCATGAACGAGTTCCAGAGGAAAGCATCGTCAAAGTTGTCGATTTCAAACGAGTTGGAGTTGATAGGTCTATCCATGTGAGCGTTGTGCTAGTCGCGAGTCCCAACCGACATACCTGTCCTGCACTCGGTTGGTCAGGTCGAAATCTGTGCTGTAGTAAAAGGTTCCGTTGCTGAGTAGGTTGCGCAGGTCATGACAAGGATGTTCCATAGCCACCTCTCTTCGGCTGAGGCCCTGACCGTAAGGGTCGGATTGCACCGAGGCAGCATCTGAATATTCCGACTCGAGAGACCCAAGAGGCACAACATCGTCGTAATCCGCGCTGCTTAGACAGTAGAATGCCACTCCGCCAATGCGCTCAACCGTCTCGCCGGGCCGTAGCGTGGCGGCCCTTGTTGCGTGCGTGATGACAGATATGAAGACCTCGCCGCTGACTGCAATCAAGCCAAGTGTTCCGTAAATCGGTCGATGGGTCAGACGACGATAGTCTTGTAAAATATGCTTCGACACGGGCGCAAACTCGACCATGCACTTGGAAACGAGAGCCTCTCCGTTGTTCCCGCGGGGCCGCGCAGAGGCGGCGACGGATGTAAGCGAGCCATTGGCGATGGCTTCACTGGTAGAAGTTGTGTACCGGAGGATTAGGGCATGCGAGGACGATACGATGGCGATGGAGCGATGAGGGTAGTCGCGGATATAGAGTTCGCATGATTTCTCGGGGGCGGGAGCCTGGGAAGACCAGGTAGCGGAGGAGTATTCCATTTTGTAGGAGAGGAGGAGACCATGAGATGGGCAGCCTCAAGGTTGAACGTGTCCGAGGAAGCGATTGCGAAGCAGCATCAGAGGCTCCGCTGGCCCATGACCGACAGTTGGAACAGAAAAATACTCAAGACGTGTAGGAGAGACAGGTTGGGCCTTGAAGCGTTGACTCGGTGTTGGGATGAAGTATCGAGGTTTGGGCCTTGAGGATGGTAGAAGCGCTTAGACATGCACTGCGAATGACGTTTCTGAGCTGGGGTGCTACAATAAACACGCCCCTGGCTGGACTCTCAGTGGACGTGGCTCCACAGAACTGTGTAGACGAGGCTATTTGGCAGGAGCTCAGCCATGACAGGAGTATAATTAAAGATGAAAAAGTCAAACGGTGTGCACTACTTGAAGGATCAAGTTACTTTGATGGCGTCAAGCTATGAATATGGGAAGAGCGGTGTGTTGGCACGATTATAAAAGCATGGTGAAAACTTGGAGGTCAGCTCTAGTACAGCCCATATGAAGCATGTGGATGGAAGCCCGTCCACGACAAGCGACAAGCCTCACTGCCCAGGGATAAGTATAGATCACATCCTGAGACCAAGTCTTCATGCATGTAGATCCGACTCAAATGCATATACAAGCATTATGCGAGTAATTGGCTGGTCCCCTTTAACAGGCTTCCAGTTATTTGGTCGAGGACGCGTAACTCGTAGTCGACGTGGACATCGGTGACTGGGATCCAGTATCCAAGATCCATGGATGGCAAACTAGACGGCGAATGCCTTCCTGCGAAACCTCGCAACCAATGGATCCATCATGAGCGCGGTAGCTGACATCATGGCCTCTGCAACATGTCGAGCTGCTCCTAATGCGAAATCTCAGACAGAAGACAAACAGTTGCTTCTCTTCTACATCAGATCTTGTCAAGACATGGATCGCATTGACAGCCATGGATTGTGAAGCGAGTATATACGTATAAACAACAAAAAAACAACAGTAAGCGAGCTTCAGATTCGAAATTGAGATCATGCTCTCTAATAAGAGAGCGTTCATTCTCTTCCTATCATATGTTTATGTGAGAATCATCACCAGCTCATTTTAGGATATAGAAAAAAGAAGATTCTTCTTTCAGGCCCCCACGCAATTGAAATATCTGCAATCTCTCGCGCCTGCTTAGTCACCAGGAAACCGGCAGATTGTTGCGCCGGATGAACCTTTTGAGGCTGCAGATGAGCCGAAATGACTTTTTGATCAAGTCACTTGGTTGCTTGCATGAGCCCCGCTAGCCCAAATCGTCCCGATTTGTGAGGCAATTTCCCGAGGCACGTGCAGCTGGAGCTGACAAGTGACTTGGTGATCAGGTACTCCCTCAAAAGAGACCGTCGGCCAGCGCGAACTACCAGCCCCTACCTTTCTGTCGCGACGAACGTGAGCCTCGAGCGTCATCTCCTGTCTCCAACTTTCTCAGCTCCATACATCGCCCCGCGAACTCGACCCGATCGCCCTTCTGTGTGCTTCATCAATCAGATCACGCGACACGAAAAAGACGAATTTTTGGCCGTTCGAGCGACATGAGTGACTTCGGCCACTTTGGCGGCTCCGAGGAGGAGTACGCGACTGTGCGCAAGCACAATGCTGAGGTGGTGAGTCTCGACTACATATAATCTGTTGGATGTTTTATCTTGATGGCTAACCGACATATGTCTACAGGAAGCCGACCCCGACAACTTCGAGAACTGGGAAAACCTCATCAAAGCCTGCGAGACACTCGAGGGTGGCTTGAACCGCAACTCTAGCCCCCAAGCCCTTGCTACCTTCCGCGATGCCTACGACAGATTCCTCCTCAAGTTCCCTCTCCTGTTTGGATACTGGAAAAAGTATGCCGACATGGAGTTCAACATTGCGGGCCCCGAGTCTGCTGAGATGGTGAGTGCCTCGCATGCTCCTCAGGCATGTCGCTGACACGGAGCCAGGTCTACGAGAGAGGATGCGCAAGCATCACTAATTCTGTCGACTTGTGGACGGATTACTGCTCCTTCAAGATGGAGACAACCCATGACCCACACCTCGTCAGAGAGTAAGTCTCATTTGGATGATTTCCTTCCCCATCCCCTTAACTTGCCTCTCGGCGCAGTATTTCGCTTGACCCGTGTGGTCTCGGTCGACATATCCGCGAGGGCTTCACACTTCACTGTCAAGATGTCTGATGGTGAGATATGCCTGCAGTAGCCCCATTAAGCCGGGATGCTCTCTCACGCTCTCTGCCAGGCTCTGTTGATGTTCATCCGTGCTCGTTCTAAACCTCAAAGTCGTCCTTGCGTTACACGTCACCCGCTCGGGAGAACCTGATCTCGGTTTTGCTACTCACTTGCACAACCATCTTCCCCTCTGTATTAATCCTCTCCGCCCCGTCCCCTGAGTTCTCCCTCCCACAAGATTGACATTGTCTAACCCAAGCAACTAGACTGTTTGAGCGCGGCTCGACTGCTGCCGGCCTCGATTTCCTGGCCCATCCCTTCTGGGACAAGTACATAGAGTACGAGGAGCGCCAAGAGGCTCATGACAGAATCTATGCGATTCACGCGAGGATCATCCGCATCCCGATGCACCAGTATGCAAGGTACTACGAGCGATTCCGATCGCTGTCACACAGCCGACCCATGACTGAGGTTGTGCCCGCTGATGTCTTGGCGCGGTTCAAGTCCGAGGTTGAGGCAGAAGCCGCGGCATTTGGCGCCCCAAAGCCCGAGCTGGAGGTTGAGCGTGATATCCGTGCCAAGATCGATGCCATGTACTACGAGGTGTTCACAGCAACACAGACCGAAGTTTCCAAGCGCTGGACGTACGAGTCTGAGAACAAGCGCCCCTATTTCCACGTCACCCCACTGGAGCACTCGCAATTGGCAAACTGGCGCAAGTACTTGGACTTTGAGGAGTCCGAAGGTGACTACTCACGAATTGTCGCCTTGTACGAGCGATGTCTCGTCACGTGCGCGTACTACGACGAGTTCTGGTTCCGTTTCGCTCGATGGATGTCTGGCCAAGAAGGAAAGGAAGAGGAGGTGCGAAACATCTACATGCGCGCCTCAACCATGTTTGTGCCCATCAGCAGGCCTGGTATCCGGATGCAGTGGGCATATTTCGAAGAGAGCTCTGGCAGGGTGCAGGTCGCTCTCGATATTCATGAGGCGATTCTCCTCAGGTTGCCGGATTGTGTCGAGGTCATCGTGTCCTGGGCCAACGTCGAGCGACGCCAGAACGGAATTGATGCGGCCATTCAAGTGTACAAGAACCAGATTGATGCTCCCACAGTGGATATCTACACCAAGGCCGCCTTGGTTGCGGAGTGGGCCCTCTTGCTCTGGAAAGCAAAGGGCTCTGTGGAAGAGGCCCGTGGCGTCTTCCTCAAGAACGTGCAGTGGTATGCAGACAGCCGATTGTTCTGGGACCGATGGTTCCAGTTTGAGCTGGAACAGCCCACAAGCGTCGAGACAGAGTCGCAACACAAAGAGCGGATGAAGCAGGTGTTTGACGAGCTCCGAGAGCGAAGTCACCTCTCCCCAGCAGTCAAGAAGGAGCTCACACAAGTATACCTCACCTATCTTGTTGAGCGTGGTGACAAGGATGCCATGAAGGTATTCTTGCAAGTCGACCGAGAGATCTTCGGGTAAGTTGTCAACCAATCATTGCAGTGATCTGTTTGCTAACTGCATTATAGACCATCCTCGGTAGCTAAGCTATCCGTGGGAGAGGGACTGAAGGAGAACGGTGCCGCTCGAGTTGAGCTAGATGAGACGAGCAAGCAGAAAGCTGAGGCTCGATACGCTCACTTCTACGAGACCCATGTGGAGCAAGATGAAAATGCTCAAGGCAACGTGGATTTCAACTAAAGAAAGGATATGGGTTTGAAGTGAAGACGGGAGGAGATGAAAAGCGGTGTTTGAGGCGAAGAACCGAGAGGAGGATATAATCAAGTGTGGTGTTCTTGAGTTGTATTATAATTGGCGCCCCTGCGAATAGCAAGAGGGGTTTGGATGGATTCGAATAGCGGAAGACGTAGCTATTCGGCTCCCTGGTCCTGGCTGGATGCTCTGGATTGAAACAGGTAATGGATAAGGATATGCACAGTAAATACATGGAACAAGATTACTTTGCTCGCTTTGAAGATGAGATCTCGTGCAGAAGGGGTTCAGCACGTGGGAATCTGGGACTAGTTCCTGAGGAGAAGTCATCGGCGACGCTTACCAAGTCGATGCATCCCTGAAATGCGGAGTGCAGCTACGGACAGATACAGATCTCTTGACGACGGGACGAACGCGGGGTGTGCCCGGCATCCAGCGGAGGATTGTCGGCAAGTGGCCAACGGTATTCGGAAGTTCCGACGAGTACCGACTGCATCCGATGGGACATTTGTTTGGCTGCTAGCTTAAGCGGGTTGAGTGGGAGGCAGAAGAGAGAGGAAGACAGGAGTGGGGAAGGACTGAGTAGAAACCGTAGGGACCTCGAACGGTCTCTTGGGGAGTGTATGACTGATATATTCTATGTTTGGTGGTCAAAGATGAACATTGATAAGAGCCGTTGAAGTATTCGGAACTTGACCTCGGCAAATTCAACTAGATGATATGACGAAAGTCGGCGGCACAATTGCTTGTCGTGCAAGGATACCATAATTTGGAATTCAATCAACCCTAGAAAGGCCCAGGCAGGGATTGCCACTGGTTGAGCATCATTCCTGGTGTGTCTGGAGTCGAGCATGACAAATCATGCACATGGAGCATGTAAGATTGAACGCGAGTATTTGAGTTTTCCTTCGCATTGCTTTTGTCCATTGGTAAGAGGTGGATAATCTAGAAGGACCATGAAGAGGGGATCTTTGAAGGGGGAGCAGTGATAAGAAACAATGGGAGACTGAAAAATCGACAATGTCGTGATATCATGGTCAGCTCGAGTCATTGTAGAAGAGTAGGGCTCATGCGGGAGGGCGTCCGTTCGGGTCGGGTGCCCCTCCGCCCTCGCCGCCGGGGGGTTTTCATGTGTCTGACTTGTCGTGGAGGTGAGACTTTCTCAGGGTCCCCCCTCGCGTCAAAGATTGAAGTCATGGTGGGAGGGTTAGAATTTTCTCGAGACCTGACTAGTTGAACTCTGATGGTCTGCCACCTCGTGGCTCGCCTTACCAACGACGAAAGGGCTGCCTCTACTTCCTCTTTCAGGACATCGTCAGGAATAACGCTTGTCTCTCTGTGCAACGTCGCAATCCCTGCCTCTCCCTGCGAGCTCTACCCTTTCCTTTCTCCATGCTCCTCGCCAGCCAGCCTCTAAGAGGAAAGAAAATCAACATGACCAAGCGTCTCCACCATATCCACCGGCTCCACAAGGGCGTTTTCCCCCGCCGCGGGTCCGTTAGCGACTGGGCCGAGTACACCAAATTGTCCAATAACGGACAGTCAATTTCAATGCACCCGTTCGGTTCTTGGTCCCGGATGTACTCTACCTGCTCTATCGGGAGGAGAGGTACCTGGGAGCCGTGAAAGCTTCAGCGGCCTGTGATGCTGGCCGTAACCGTCTCGAGACAGCTGTCGGCCAGGCGCTGGGGTGGTATCGCGAGGGTACCGAGGTACCTCGACACTAATCGCCGGCCTGGGCAGGGCAGAGTAGAGCAGGGCAGCTCCTTCCGTGGCCTTCTATGGATCGCGCGTCGGCGACTCGGCGCCGGGGACTCTCCAGCTGGACTCTGTGTGAATCAACACGGCAGGTGCCCGTCTTGCCCGTCCTCCCCGCGCTTGGCCCAGGTTCTCCCCAAAACACCCGGCATTCCCTTCCATCTCCCGTCTCAGATCTCATTCTTTCACTTCTCCTCCTTCTTCCTCTTCTCTCCCTCTCTGTACGAAGCAGCATCTTTCCAGCGTCCTATCATTTCACCGTCGCTTGCAATCAAGGTATGTTCTTATCTCTAATTGCGTTTCTCTTCCATTCGTAGCTCAGTGAGCTCTCTGCTTGCTCTGGTGTCTGGGAAAGATAACACCATGTGCTCAATCTCTCCGGATAACCTTTATCCTCCCAAATCATAACAGTTTCCTCAAGCTGACAACCTCTTTCGCATTGCAGATGGCCTCCGCTACTCGACAGTTCGCCCGTGCGGCTACCCGCGCCTCTACCCGCAGCTTCTCCGTTGCTCCTCGTCAGGTCTTCCGTCAGAACGGCCGCCGCTACTACTCCTCTGAGCCTGCCCAGAAGTCCTCTTCGGCCTGGATCTGGCTCACTGGTGCCGCTGTTGCTGGTGGTGCTGGTTGGTACTTCTACGCCAACGGTGCTTCCGCCACCCCCAAGGTCTTCAACCCTACCAAGGACGACTACCAGAAGGTGTACAACGAGATCGCCAACCGCCTGGAGGAGAAGGATGACTATGATGATGGCAGCTACGCTCCCGTCCTCCTCCGACTTGCCTGGCACGCCAGCGGCACCTACGACAAGGAGACTGGCACCGGTGGCAGCAACGGTGCTACCATGCGTTTCGCCCCCGAGTCCGACCACGGCGCCAATGCTGGTCTGCTCGCTGCCCGCAACTTCCTTGAGCCTGTCAAGGGTGAGTTCTTTGGCCACTAGTTGAAAGTGTAGCATGCTAACAAGTTCTGTAGCCAAGTTCCCCTGGATCACCTACTCTGATCTTTGGATCCTTGGTGGCGTTTGCGCCATCCAGGAAATGCAGGGTCCTGTCATCCCCTACCGACCTGGCCGCAGCGACCGTGATGTCTCTGCTTGCACTCCTGATGGCCGTCTTCCCGACGCCACCAAGAGCTCCAACCACCTGCGAGACATCTTCTACCGCATGGGATTCAACGATCAGGAGATCGTGGCTCTCTCTGGTGCCCACGCTCTCGGCCGATGCCACACTGACCGATCCGGCTTCGATGGCCCCTGGACCTTCTCTCCTACTGTCCTGACCAACGACTACTTCCGTCTTCTCATCGAGGAGAAGTGGCAGTGGAAGAAGTGGAACGGCCCTGCTCAGGTGAGACCAGACACCGAAGTTATGTAGATGCAATTGCTGACTGAAACTCTCCATAGTATGAGGACAAGTCCACCAAGACCCTGATGATGCTTCCCACCGATATGGCTCTTGTCCAGGACAAGAAGCTCAAGCCCTTCGTCGAGAAGTACGCCAAGGACAACGATGCCTTCTTCAAGGACTTTTCGGATGTCGTTCTCCGACTCTTCGAGCTTGGTGTCCCCTTCGCCCAGGGCACCGAGAACCAGCGATGGACCTTCAAGCCCACTTACGATTCGTAAGGGGTAATGATCTAGGAAAAGATGTATTGTAGGATTTATACGGAACTGGATCTGGTCATCATGTCGGTTGATGGACTTGAAGGAGCGATATCCGGAGTTTTGACTTGTAATCATTAGAAGCAGGTTGGATAGCCTGCCGACTCATACCATTTGTCACCCACTTGGCTGGATCCCCGCATGTGAAGGCGCTATCATGTCTATCATGTATGGTAGAGAGCAAAATGAATTTCTTTTGTCCCATGATGAAGCGATGATGTTGAATATTGAGTTTATGAGAGGTACAAGGGTGCAAGATCACGGGCCGATCCGGGGTAGCAGCCATGACGACTTCGTGACGTCCAGCCATTGAAGCGTCTGATGGTGATTGGATCTGTTCCTGCGTCTGCCACACCAACCGCTAGCCCTGTGGAAGGTTTCGGGGGTGACGATACTGGTTACTGAAACGATCCTTTGGTGGACTAGCGACTTGGGGACAAATGCAGATAACCTCAAGTACTGTGAGTTGTTGAGTTCCCCTTTCAGCAAACCATACATACTTGGGTATGCCCTTTTAGTGAATTAGCAAGCCGACTTTATTTAGTGTGTCTGATTTGAGAGCAGATCACTTGCGCACACCTCTCCTCACTTGTTTCTGGGAAGAGGGTACCAGCAATCACCACATCATGCTGGCCGATCGAGACTGAATGCCTTCACAGCGTCCCAACTAACAAGTTCGCATGCGCAAGGGAGGTACCTTTGCTATGAGTGAACCATTCGGGCCCGACCAGACGATGACCGGCAAACTCGGCCGAGTTGCTGACCTGGGGGCAATCTCACTCGTCAATCCTAAGCAGGGGAAGTGGAACTGCTGACTGATCTCGGGCGAAAGAAACAACGACATCTCATCATGGTGAAGAAGGCGAGCTGACTTCTAGAATGTTCATTCACGGTTCAACCATGTGCGGTGGTGCCGACGATAACGGTGGCGAGGAACAGTGCGAAGAAACATTGTACAGGTACGGAAATGCCCATCATGACATCTATCATGAGAGTTGAGATGCGTAAAAGGTCGTCAACGACTCAAGAAACACATCTCTTTGCTATCATTGGTCTACCAACTCAACTAACATCGTATCTGCCCACACAAGCGCATTCCGGAATCCAGTCCCGAAGTTTCCCCCCACAACGGATCTCCAATATTCAAGAATGGAGTAGAATTCTCTGTTTCCTCTCCACCATCTGTGGACCAGTCTACTACGTAGTATCACGGAAATAACCCCCCGAGAAAACTTGAGAGACTTTTTTTCATATTTGTCAGCCGTTTGAATTATTCAGCGCCGTAACCCCAATGCACCGGGAACAAGACGGCGGTGTGACTGTCGCGAGCCAATCCTGTGGGTGTAGGAATGGCGGCCGACCCTGTTGACCATGAGGGGTTTCAACTAGGCTCCGAGGTAAATGTGAGGATCGGGTCCATTCGCACGTCATTGGGCTTAGAAATCCATGGGTGCTATACGCGCAAGACACTAATGTTAGCCTTGTGAGGAGATCGTCTTGTCTGAGGATCTGGGAACTCACCGAGATGTTGCCGTGATGGATGGTTTCGAGTATATATAGACCTGGTCATTTGCACCTGAGGCAGAAATCCAGCATCAACATCAAATCAGCCTCTCACTTACACACTCTTGTCGTGGTGGATACGCCTAGTTTCTACCCCAATTGTATCATCCCCGGTTCTAGCACGACTCCCGCATAGTGTTCCACTTGGTGGCTCCTTCTCATACGATAACTACCTTATTTACCCCAGGCAGGCCTGATAGCAAGACGAGATTTGTATAAATCCCACTCGACTCCCCAGCTCAACTAGAGCAACACAGGACCTACGCTATCAAGTCATACACACCCCGCAACAATGACGAACCAAGACATCGAGAACAAGCCCGCTGTTGGGGTTCCTTACTTCACCCCAGCTCAGGAGCCCCCGGCCGGTACCCCGCTTGATCCGGCTTCGGCCCCGACAGTTTTCAAGCCCCTCCGGATCCGTGGCATTGAGCTCCATAACCGCTTCGGAGTGTCTCCCATGTGCACCTACTCGGCTCAGGATGGAAAGCTGACCGACTGGCATCTCGTCCACCTAGGCCAATTCGCCCTGAAGGGTGCCGGCCTTGTCTTTGTTGAAGCCACCGGCGTTGAGCCCCGAGGCCGCATCAGCCCTAACGACTCTGGCCTCTGGGACGACGAGCAAATTGCCCCTCTCAAGCGCATTACAGACTACATCCACAGTCAGAACTCGCGAGCGGCTATTCAACTCGCTCATGCCGGCCGCAAGGCAAGCACACTTGCTCCCTGGATCGGCGGCACTGCTACAAAGACGCTTGCACCTGAGAGCGTGGGAGGCTGGCCTGAGGATGTCGTTGGACCAAGTGCGGTCCCTTTTGCGGACGACCATGCCACGCCGAACGAGTTGACGGTGGACCAGATCAAGGAGCTCGTGCAGAAGTGGCAGGATGCTGCTGTGAGAGCCGTCAAGGCGGGCTTTGATGTCATCGAGATTCATGGTGCCCATGGATACTTGATCACCAACTTTCTCTCGCCCGTTTCCAACGTAAGTTGACTCCTGATACCATGATGCTGAGACAAAGGACGTTGAGTGGCTGACTGGTGATACAGAAACGAACAGATCAGTATGGTGGTAGCTTCGAGAACCGAACCCGCTTCCTCTTCGAGATCATCGAGGCCGTTCGCGCCGTGATCCCCTCCGAGATGCCCCTCTGGCTGCGCATTTCGGCCACCGAGTGGATGGAGTGGAGCGGAGAGCCCTCATGGGACCTTGAGAGCAGCATCCGCCTGGCCAAGCTGCTCCCAGCCGCCGGCATTGACGTCCTCGACGTGAGCAGCGGCGGCAACGCCTCGGCCCAGAAGATCAAGGTTCACCAGACCTTCCAGTCGGACCTGGCAGGCAAGATCCGCGAGGCCCTCCGCGCCGACGGAAAGGAGCTACTCATCGCGACAGTGGGCCTCGTCGCCGACGGTGCCTTTGCCCGGTCCGTCGTCCAGGAGGACGAGAAGCCCCAGGCCGACTTTGTCCTCGTGGCCAGGCAGTTCCTCCGGGAGCCCGACTTTGTGCTCAGCGCCGCGCAGCAGCTGGGTGTCGAGGTCAAGTGGCCGAACCAGTACCACCGGGCAGGACCCAAGCCCCGTGGACGGTAGAGGTTGGAGATATGAAGGCGTTTGAGGGGGAGAAGGCGTTTATAAAAGTCTAGGTGACAATAGAGTGTGATTTCAAACTGTATCCTGAGTATACTTTAGTGCCTATAGTGATGTCGTAGGGCTGGAAGGTTAAGCAAGATATGCAAGGCACTCCTCGTCAACTTGGCCAACATGAGGTTTGGGTTGCGAACCACTTCATGAGAAAGTCTGATAGAGGTACTGAGGATCCAAGCGACGTGTCCTTATGTCTTTGCTAGGAAGGATTCAAGGATTCTCATGGCTGTGCCGCTTTAAACTTTGGAAATTGGTGCAGCAAACTCATCCTACAAGGAGGCACAGTTAATATTTGTGTGATTACCTGAAGCACAAAGATATCCATGCTGAGGAATCTCTGCCCGTGGTTCCGGAGCCCCGCTGGGAACACACTGAAGGCATCAACAGCCACCCACGCAAGGAAGACTTCTCCCAGAGCTCGGACAGCATGGGATACAGCTTGCAAGGGGTTGGATTAGAAGCTTTCACACACTAGGCATGACTGGGTCATGACAACCTTATCTGGAGCCGGCTTCTTCAACCTCTCTGCTGCGGTGGAGCTGACCAGGCGAGACCGACGGTCCTTGGTGGGGCCGGACGGTCATGAGTGGATCTTGATGAGCCGAGCGAAAAGGCTGGGGATGGATGTTGGATGTTTGCCTCACTTGTTATCCCCCGTCACGGACTACCGTGTTAGGCGGTGAATGGTCTTGTTCGATGGATGCTACATCTTTTCAGTTAGTCACTGTTTATGAGAAAGATCGGCCACTGACGGGGGGGAAAAGAGAGAGGTCGGTCTCTGATATAGTGAGTGGCGGCTTTGAGAGGCGTCATGACCGACGGGGCTACCAATATTGCAGGCAATAGTTTCGTCCACTATCTGCCGGCGCCGCGGGCAGCCTCATGACTACAACGCCAGCTAGAAGACAGTTTGTCTCGGTAGAAGAGATGTCGATATTAATAATCCTCGGAGTGTCTGACAGTAAGCAGATATTCTGAGCGGCAGTGATTACAGTAGTATTCCGGAAACAGAGCGGCAAACTGGAATCATTGCTTGGTCAACGGCTTTACGGATAACACCACCTACTTCCAGTTTTGCTAACCCCCCTCAATTAACGTTATGACCTAGCTCCCACTCCTACTGAGAAAGGGGCGCCTCGGCCTGGGCTGGGCTGGGCTTGGACGGATAGTCCAGATATTGGATTGTAAACCTAGAGACGTGGCCTTTTCTCTTTTTTTACCCTCCCGGTGAGACGAGTCAATCGCCACCACTCAGCCAAAAAACTCGAACGTCTTTTTTGTCCTGCTTCTGTTTGACAGGGTTCGCCTTCCCATGCGACCCCTTCGTTCGGAAGATAATATCCCGTTGCGGCTCGATTGGGAAAGTGTTTTTGCACATTAAGGTTCCGCATTTGAGAGAGGACGGGAATGAATACGTGGAGCTTGGAGTTGCAGCCATGATAGACATGTAGAGGCTAGACAAGAGCTGGAGGCGCATCAAGGCTACTAATTCGGTCTATTCAACATAATTCTAGAGGTCAGCACTCCGGATTTATAAGGATTACCGCCAGCTGATGCCTATGCCATGCCATACCATACCATACCATCCATGAATAGGACCCAGCGATCCAAGGTCCCTACAAGCATCGCAGCACCTGGGGGTGAAGGTGCAGGTGGGGTGGGCAGGTCCCCTTCCAGGCGGTGCAGGGTCCCTCATAGGCCAGAGCTGCCCTGTGGAAGCGCCACAACCCGCTGAAAGACCCACTAGCCCGCCCGCTGGAGGGGCCCATGGGGCCGTGCTGCCAACTGCAGGTGCTCAGGGCAGGTCCGGCTGGTACTGCCCGCGCTGCCTGGTCTTGATGATCAATCCAATCCAGCCTCCAAAGGGGACACTTGTTCAATTGAGCCCCTCCATCCATCCATTCATCGCCCCCCAGCCCACCTCTCATGTACCCAGACCCCAGCCCAGCCGCACGTCGCAGCCGCAGCAGCAGCAGCAGCTTAGGTACAGTGCAGTACAGCCTTGACTGACCTGTGGGAGCCGGAGTGCTTGAACCACTGACTGATCCATTGGATTACCTGTCCTCAAGTACAAGTACAAAACTCTCCGCCTCCATCTTCTCTACTCGAACATCTCCTCCTCCTTTCCCTTCCTCCCCCCATATCATTGACCTTTCCCTTGCCCGTCTCCCAGCGAAGCCCTTCTTTGTGTTTTCTAGGATACCCATCAGACGGCCATCATGTATCACAAGCGCATCGCCTGCGGCTTCATGGCGGCTCTGGCTGCCTATGCCTCCGCCGCCGACTCGGATGTCCACCAGCTCACCCAGGACACCTTTGACGAGTTCATCAAGTCCAACGACCTCGTCCTTGCCGAGTGTAAGTCTCGATTGACACCCCGCCCGCTCTCCCCGCCTTCTGCAGCTTGCTAACATGATCTCCCAACAGTCTTCGCTCCCTGGTGCGGCCACTGCAAGGCCCTCGCCCCCGAGTACGAGGAGGCTGCCACTACCCTCAAGGAGAAGAACATCAAGCTTGCCAAGGTTGACTGCACTGAGGAGGCCGACCTCTGCAAGAACTTTGGCGTCGAGGGTTACCCCACCCTCAAGGTCTTCCGTGGCCTTGACAACATCACTCCCTACAGCGGTCAGCGCAAGGCTGCTGGGTAAGTCGACCTGTCCCAGAGACTGTCAATAGCTCGCCTGCTAACATGGCATCTTCCAGCATCACCTCCTACATGATCAAGCAGTCCCTCCCCGCTGTCTCCATCCTCACCAAGGACACCCTCGAGGAGTTCAAGACTGCCGACAAGGTCGTCGTCATCGCCTACCTCAGCGCCGACGACAAGGCCTCCAACGAGACCTTCTCCAAGATCGCTGAGGGTCTCCGCGACACCTACCTCTTCGGTGGCGTCAACGACGCCGCTGTTGCTGAGGCTGAGGGCGTCAAGGCCCCCGCCGTTGTCGTCTACAAGGCCTTCGATGAGGGCAAGAACACCTTCACCGAGAAGTTCGAGGCTGAGGCCATCGAGTCCTTCATCTCCACCTCCGCCACCCCTCTCATTGGCGAGGTTGGCCCCGAGACCTACGCCGGCTACATGTCTGCTGGTATCCCCCTGGCCTACATCTTCTCCGAGACCGCTGAGGAGCGCAAGGAGCTCGGTGACGCCATCAAGCCCATTGCTGAGAAGTACAAGGGCAAGATCAACTTTGCCACCATCGATGCCAAGGCTTTCGGTGCCCACGCTGGCAACCTGAACCTCAAGACCGACAAGTTCCCCTCTTTCGCCATCCAGGAGATTGCCAAGAACCAGAAGTTCCCCTTTGACCAGGAGAAGGAGATCACCCACGACAGCATCGCCAAGTTCGTTGAGGACTTCTCTGAGGGCAAGATTGAGCCTAGCATCAAGTCTGAGCCCATCCCCGAGACCCAGGAGGGTCCCGTCACCGTCGTCGTCGCCAAGAGCTACAACGACATCGTCCTCGACGACACCAAGGATGTCCTGATTGAGTTCTACGCTCCCTGGTGCGGTCACTGCAAGGCTCTCGCCCCCAAGTACGACGAGCTTGCTTCCCAGTTCGCTGCCTCTGAGTTCAAGGACAAGGTTGTCATCGCCAAGGTTGATGCCACCCAGAACGACGTTCCCGATGAGATCCAGGGCTTCCCCACCATCAAGCTGTACCCCGCTGGTGCCAAGGACGCTCCCGTCACCTACCAGGGCTCCCGCACTGTTGAGGACCTCGCCGAGTTCATCAAGGAGAACGGCAAGTACAAGGCTGAGGTCTCCGCCAAGGAGGAGGGTACTGAGGAGGCTGCCCCCGCCGCCAGTGAGGAGAAGAAGGAGGCTGAGAAGGAGAAGGAGGCCGACGGCCATGATGAGCTGTAAACACATGATGTCATATTAGTATACTAAAAGGGGCTTATCTGATTTCACGGGCGCGGGATTTGATGGTGCTGTCGTTTGATGGCACCTCTGATGAGATTTGCTACTAGTTTCCGTGGCAAAATTGGACAATGATGATTGACTACCACTTGATACACTACTGCTTGTTCCTGAACCAACCGTGCCATGATCTGTTACAATCTTGAGGAATGTGAATAAAACTTGACCACCCTGCGTGGTCTACCATTTGCTCGGCTCCTACGACTTGAATATCTAGCAGACAGGAGACTGGCTTGGAGGTTCCAGAGTCTGTCTGCCCAGCCCGGTAGACTTATCAGGCTATCAGTCCACGGTCCGTCTTCCAATCTTTGACTGCCAGGATATGAGAGTCATGACTGCAGCCAGCGTATTATCGGATTGCGTAAGTCGTATATGTTTATGAATCGGGCTTACAAACACGTCCTCAACGTGGGACAGAATCGTACAAATCCCTCGACCTCTCCTCCTCTTTGCCAATTGCCTCGAGATGTAAAGAAATGTGACCAGGCCATTCTGAGTCCACCGCGTCAACCCGGCAATTTCGAGGAGAGATTCGCCCTGGTCTGAATCCCCTTTTATACACTTTTCCACCTCTCTTGCTGTTGTATCAATCCATTACTTCTTGCCCTGCGTCTTTGTCTCCAGGGCCTGGACGTAGTTGCTGAGGCGGGTGACGGAGGCCTGGAGGGTCTGTGATGGTGGGGTCAGCTTCCGGATCGCAAGGTCGGGCGGGGTTGAATCGAGGTCGTTGCTTATCAATTGCCTCATCCCTTTGGTTACGCACGTAGATGTCCTCGGTCAAGAGGTCGTTGGCCGTCTTGTACTCCTTGAGGAGGTAGCTGTAGGCGGCGCTGCCGGAGAGGAAGCTGCCAAGAAGGAAGCCGAAGAGGCTGACGGGTAATCTGGTTAGCCAATTCCAATTCCCTCGAGCAGGAGGTTCTTATCCCGACTCACCCTCCCCGGAAAGCTCCCATGGGTTTCCGGGCCGGCAGAGGCGCGGCGTCGGCCATTCGTCGGGCGGAGGTGTGGAAGCTCCGCGCAGCGAGCGCGCGGCTGCTAGAGAGGAGGACTCTTGACGGCAGGGACATGTTTTCGTGGGTTAGGCGGCGACGGGGGATTGCGGTGTTTGAGAGGCGAGAGAAGCTGGCTGTGATGGGCGATGGACGTCAGAGGTGCTTGCTACCCGTCGGGTGCTCGGAATATTCTGAGCGGTTGTGCTTCGCTGGACGATTCTTGCGCGTGATTGGCTACGTCACGTCTTGCGAGGGGAGCAACGGCTCCGGCAGATTTTCCGACCGATGCGGGTTTGATGTGTGAACACCCTTTGTAGTTCACACCTTCAAAGCTATCATCCAACCAAAAGACTTGAAGTCTGACGCTAACCCAGACTTGGGATGATTGAAGGCCCACTATTCTCAGAGCTCTTATCTGAGCCTATCTATTGGCCAAATAACTTTGAAGGGTGTCGGAAACCAAGGGGGGTCGCTTTCGCGAAACAAAACGTTTGGAGCATCCTCACGAGCCAACTTCAGAAGCTTCCAAGGCATCATCAACAAACTCGCAATGAACAACTTTGGAGTGATCGAGCTCGCCAGCGCCAAGACAAAATCGGCTCCGGGCTGGGCCTATGTCCCCGACAACACTATCGCCAGCCGCTCGACGGCGCCTACCAACAGAAAGCGCGCCCGGAATGCGCCCGGCCTAACCCTCAGCGATTTGACGGCGCGCCAAGATACGAAGATACGAAAAGAGGTCGAGGCATTGGACAAAGATGGTGGAAGAGACAATACTATACCGTTGCCGGTCAAAAGTGGGAGAGGTATGCGAGTGATGGTCTTGCTTGTCGGCTCTGGAGCTAACTTGAACAGCCCAAGGGAAGCATACGCCCAATGTTCGCAAGATCTTGCAGTCGCAAAAGACCTTTGGCAATCACCTCGACGACTTCCTCGCGATGCAAGCACTAGCAGAATCGAATCCTGCCCTCTCTCGATCCAACACGGCTGGCGCAAACAACAAGCGGTCCTCGGGTAGCAGGAGAGATACTCCCACATCGGCTCGTCAACCCGCGCAGGACGAAGACATCACAATGACCGACGTGAACCTCCCGCCTGTCCTCTCGGAATCCTCAAAACCTCCCCCGACATCACACGCAGGCGATGACGACCCTCTGCTAATGTCATGCGTCCCCGAAATGCCGTCCGACGAGGAGCTGCGCAAGCTTCTGTCTCACCCGCCTCTGACATATGGTGAAGCCACGGGCAATTGGGATCCGAAATATCCGACGAGGGTGTTTTGTTCAGTGTGCGGGTATTGGGGACGTGTGAGGTGTATGAAGTGCGGGACAAGAGTCTGCGCGCTGGACTGTCTGGAAGCGCATAAGGAGGAATGCGTTACACGGTATGGGCTGTAACAGAAAGCTCATTTGTGTGTGCTTTGTATGGGATTTATGATACGATGATACGGTAAGGAGTTACGGAGCTACTGGGTTAGAGAATGGCCTGATACCCCTGGATGAGCTTGGAACAAGGGAATTACTGAACATGAGTCAGATTGCGATTTCGGATCTGAGTCTGAGTATCCAATGTGTCTATGATGACTGTGCATGATGTTTCGAAGTACTGATCATTTGTGGAATGATACCGTTATGGCGGTACCAGATCGATACGACGGTAGGAGAAGCTTCAATATGCTTTCAGGAGGCCAATGATATGAAGCTCCGGCAGACATGCAAGATTAATCTCAGGAGTCAACCCCAAAATAGCATACAGACGGACGCTCAAGGCCGAGATGAAGGCGCCATGATGGTCAATAGTTGTCAGTCCAGACTGGTTACGGAGACAGAGTGGGCAGATTGATTGGCCACCGAGGATCTACCGATAAGACTGAGCCGCCGATAACAACACCAGGACCCCTGTCAAACTCGTTCAGTGACTCAACCCCACCTAGCGTTTAATGCCCCCTGTGCCCCGCCATCCATCAACAGAGGCAGACCCAAGACCGCAACTTCTCCCACCACAACTGCAACATCTTGCAAGTCCTCATCATGTCGTCCGAACAAGTTGACGCTGTGAAAGCGGCCGAGGGCGCTCCCGAGCAGAGCCTGCCCTCTCGCCCCGCCAAGCAGCCTAAGGAGAAGAAGCCCGCCAAGGGTGGAAAGTCTTCTGGCCTCGAGGTTTGTGCCCCTCCTCTGCTGGCCGAAGAAACATGGCATCATGGCCATGGCGACTCCATTGCTAACCCATGTCGTAGCTACCAGCTCTCCCCGAGTTCATCCAGCACCGACTCGACCTCTTCGATCAGATCAAGGCTCGACAGGAGGCCGAAATCGCGGGTGCGTAGTGAAGAAAAAACTATCCCATCCGGCTTTGCCACGACTCGCGTCTCGAATCGAATCGACTGACCACGACTGCAGAGAAACCTCGCGAGGAAATCACCATCTCTCTTCCCAATGGCAAGGAGCACACCGGAACCTCGTGGGAGACCACCCCCTTCTCCATCGCCAAGGGCATCTCCAAGTCGCTCCTCGAGCGCACCGTCATCTCCATCGTCGACGGCGAGCTGTGGGATCTGACCCGACCCCTCGAGAAGAGCTGCAAGCTCGAGCTCCTCGACTTTGAGCACCCCGAAGGTAGAACTGTATTGTAAACTCGAGTGCGGAACGGCGCGGCTGACGCACGAGATAGGCAAGAAGGTCTTCTGGCACTCGTCTGCCCACATTCTCGGAGAGGCTGCCGAGCGACGCTTTGGATGCTACCTCTGCAACGGTCCCCCCACTGAGGACCCCCCAGGTTTCTACTATGATATGGCCAACATGGGAGAGTATGTTTAGTTGGTGCTGCTCTTTGCAATCACACTAACAAGATGACAGGCAAGTGATTGCCGACGAGGATAAGAAGGCTCTGGAGCAGCTCTCCAACAGCATCATCAAGCAGAAGCAGCCCTTTGAGCGTCTCGAGATGACCAAGGATGAGCTCCTTGAGATGTTCAAGTACAGCAAGTACAAGGAGTACTTCATCAACCAGCGTGTCCCCGATGGCACCAAGAGCACTGTCTACCGCTGTGGACCCCTGATCGATCTGTGCCGAGGACCTCACGTTCCTACCACCGGCAACATCAAGGCCTTTTCCGTTCTCAGGGTACGTGCTAGACCTATAAGCTTTTAGACAGGACGCGGGAGCTAACAGTGACAGAACTCTGCCGCCTACTGGCTTGGTGACAGCAATAACGAGTCCGTCCAGCGAATTGCTGGTATCTCATTCCCCGACAAGAAGCAGCTCGAGGAGTACAAACACTTCCTGGCCGAGGCTGCCAAGCGCAACCACCGAAAGATTGGCCAAGATCAGAAGCTCTTCTTCTTCGACGAGGTGTCTCCTGGATCCACCTTCTTCCTGCCACACGGTGTGCGCATCTACAATGCCCTGATGGACCTCCTCAAGGGCGAGTACCGGAAACGTGGCTTCACCGAGGTCATGTCCCCCAACGTGTACAAGTCGGATCTGTGGAAGATCTCTGGTCACTGGGGTCACTACGAGGAGAACATGTTCACCTTTGACGTCGAGAAGGAGCGATATGGCCTGAAGCCCATGAACTGCCCCGGACACTGCAAGATCTTTGCCCACTCGGACGTCAGTTACAAGGACCTGCCATGGAGGATGGCCGATTTCGGTGTGCTGCACCGCAACGAGTTCTCGGGTGCCCTGTCTGGTCTTACCCGAGTCCGTCGTTTCCAGCAGGATGATGCCCACATCTTCTGTACCGTGGACCAGGTGCGTGAGACTAAACCGTTTTTGAGTCGAAATACTGACATTGGACAGATCCGAGATGAGATCGAGTCTGCCTTTGACTTCCTGAGCGCCGTGTACGGCCTGTTCGGCTTCTCTTTCAAGCTCAAGCTTTCCACCCGTCCTGAGAAGTATGTTGGTGACATTGCCACCTGGGATATCGCCGAGCAGAAGCTTCAGGAGGCTCTGGAGTCGTTTGCCAAGAAGACCAACGCCAAGTGGGAGTTCAACCCCGGTGATGGTGCTTTCTACGGCCCCAAGATCGACATCACTCTATACGATGCCCTTCGCCGAGACCACCAGTGCGGTACCATTCAGCTCGACTTCAATCTTCCCCGACGATTCAAGCTCCGATATGTAGCCGGCAAGGACGAGAGCGGAGTCAGCGACGGCAGCGACCCTTCGGAGGATCTCCCCGCTGGATACTCGCGCCCTGTCATGATTCATCGTGCTGTGCTGGGCAGCTTTGAGCGAATGTTTGGTGTGCTGGCAGAGCACTTTGCGGGCAAGTGGCCTTTCTGGCTCAGTCCCCGACAGATCCTAGTTGTTCCCGTCATGCCTGCGGTGAACGACTACGCCAAGGAGATCCAGCAGATCTTCCAGGAGAAGGAATTGTACATTGACGTCGACCTCAGCAGCAACACCTTCCAGAAGAAGATCCGTACTGGCCAGCTGGAGCAGTACAACTTTATCTTTGGTATGTTTACAATAACAGGCTATGGTTAACATGGGTCAATGGCTAACTCGATGATGTAGTGGTTGGTGCTGAGGAGGCCAAGTCGCGCACCGTCAACATCCGCAACCGAGACGACCAGGCTACCCAGACCAAGGGTGAGCTGGTGCCTATCGACGAGGCCCTCGAGTCTCTTGTCAAGCTCAAGGTTGAGCGACGTCTGGAGAACAAGATGTAAAGAGAAGAGACCTGATTATAGAAAATCAAGGGTGGGGGTGGCGGGCGAGCGAGGGTAAAAGTAGATGGCGTACTTGAGATTCATCATTCAATGACATTGAAACGAGACATGTAGATGTATGCCATGTAGAAGTATCGATCGACTTCAAGGAGCGGTCAATGAAGAATACCCGTGAACAGCATGTCTGTCACTGGGAGTCAATGATGGTTCTCTCGAAGCCTAGTTCAGGTGAAGCTGAGAATGGGGCTGAAGTGAGAGTGTCATGGGGAGCCAACAATCAGGAGAGGCCCCCACGATGATGGAATTGGGCATCAAGACGGTGGGCAATTGGAAAGGAGTAATTGAGCTCGTATGCATCACAGATAGTCACGAGGAGATTCGGATGTGCGGTGCCATGCATTTGCGGTGACGGGGGTGCAAGACAGGGACGAGGAAGAAGACGAGGATCGGGATGTGGGAGGCCGAACTCGGGAAGAGAGAGATCCACCGACGAAAAGACGCGGAGATGCAGTCGATGACGGGGGATCCTCGAGGATCGGGGGAGTAGAGTCTGTGCTGTGCTGTGCTGTGCTGTCGTGTAGATTGGAGAGTGAACAAGCAACAGATTGAGTGAAGCCAAGGAGGGAGAATGCGAGATGACGATCAAGAGATGAAGGGGGATGCCCTGTCTGCCTGTCAGCCCTGTCGAGATCTGATCCAGCTGTGCCGTGTCCTGTGTGTCTACGTTTGTTTGCCTGCCTGTGTGTCTCTGTGTGGGTGCGTGTGTGTAACACGACCCAAGTAGCCAAGATGGTGAGTGACCCATTCATCACGTCGGAGCCGCTCCTCGGTGTGCGGGGTTTTTCGCCCTGTGCTTTCTTTTCCCTTGTAATAGAGTCGTTGACCTGCCAGACGTTGCTTTTTTTTTTCTGGCCTCCCCAGCCTTCAATGAGCAGCTGGCAAACAATGTGGTGGTTCCGCATTCGCTTATTAACTACCTAGTTTGTTTCTTTTGTTGGTTGTTACCAAGATGGGCGGGCAGGGATATGGGTTTTGGAACAAGAGACAAAAGCAGAGTGAGAGAGACTGTGTGAGAGCGCATAACTGGAATGCGCGTCGGTCAAGAGAAGATAGCCGGGCCTGGTGGTTTATTCGCTGGCCGGCAGAGACATGATGTATCGTTTCTGATGGGCGCCGACAACTGGAACCGGTGAAGAAATAGTCACAAGCAAACACGGAAACCAACCTCAGCCCTCAAGGGATAGTCTCATTTTTTGAGGGTCCCTCGGTCCTCTATAGGGCAAAGAAAGGAGGGGGATGCAACGCGGGACGGAGAAGAGCGAGAGTGAAAAAGGTGATGTATCAGTTTTTTTGCTCTTCGTAATGTTTGCTTGCCCTCAAAGCACGGGGTAAAATTCAGGATGTGATATTTCATCTATTCAGAGACAAGGCAGAAGAAACGAACGAGGCAACGGCAGCATCAGCAGCAGACGCGGGTGAGACTGCAGACGGTGAAAAGTGCAAATGCTGAGAACCTATGGATTGCCTCGATCTGCTCGCCTGGGGTTACACGCCCGAGGTCGGTGGCTACCTGGACATTTGATGGCTGAGCCTGTTTGCATGACGAGCTGCCCATCATCAACCTGGCTGCCTCTTGGTCTGGCCTGGGTACTACTTACTGACTATCTAATGCATGAATAGTAGAGAATGTATCCAAAAGGACCATCTGCATGTTGGTCCGAGGATGAGCACGGCCCACAAGAGGATACAGAAATCCATACAGAGTGGATGGATGACGATATACCACGGATAGTACCAGGTATCACACTGGGGTATTACTTGCTATTTCGGAATGTTACGAGGTCCATCCCACCCCGATATTAATAGAGCCAAGTTGCGAACTCGCGGTGGGCCAAAGGGTTCAAGTCAACTTGTGCTACTTACCTGCACCCAACACTGGGAACTCTTGCGTTCCAGGTTCGTGGGATTTGATTGCGTTGCGTGGTGCATCGGGGGACGGGCTGACGCTGACCCGTGACCCGGGGGCGGTCATCAACCATCAGCAATGCATCCTTAGGGTGTGGTGGCACAAGGAGGAGAGACATGGGAATTCCATTTGTCTCCGAGGGAGATGGAAGAGGGGGGGGGTTGGCGATGGCGTCGCAACCGTCGTGGGTCGATGGCGGCTGCAAAGAGCGCGATGCATGACGGACGCGGCAAGCGATGCGTCATGTAACGCTACATCAAGATGCAGCGAACGAGGGGCAGGCAAGCAAGACAAAGAAGAAGGAAAAAGAAATACTCTGTAAAGCGGAGGTATCGGAAGAGAGCGTTGCTTGAAACAGAAGCCCGGTATGTAAGTTGGTAGATAGCTTCATCAGGCTGCGTGGAAGGCCTCTTTTGTTGCTGTGTCATCTATCATAATAGACTATCGCGTTAGTGGGCGAGACGGATATTCGGACCAGAGCAGCCATGGTTCGATTCTTACGATATCTTGGACCCGACGAGATGTCATCCAACACCTTTATCCAACCTATGCTCGTGCTAACGGCGACCACGGGCAGCTTAGCGTGTCTCTGGCACTTTGGTCCCTGAGATTCTCAAATCTAGATCCAGACTCTCTCTCACCACCAGCGAGCAACAAGATCCTGGCAGCCTGGTCGTGTCCTTTTTTTTCTTTTTTTCTGGGGTGACACAAGGTTGTGCCAGGTGTGAAAACGGTGGAGTTGGTCATGAGCGGGAGGGATTTTTTTTTTTAGCACTTTGAACAGCAGGGGATCTCACAGTGAGTGAGCTGAGGTGAGTTGAAACTTGAGAAACGAAAGGGGGGGGGGCGCGGCTACGACCGCGATGATGATGATGGCGGCGGTCCGCCCGGGCCTAGGGGGTCACAGTGCATTTCATCATGGCCGATGAATGAATGAGATCCATCTAATACAGCACGCCAAACAGGTTGTTGCGCAAAGGCAAGGCTCTCCAGATGCGGATGTTGGGGCATTGGCCAGATCTGCACGTCGCTCAGATGGTGCCAGGAGGCGGAGGCGATGGGGTGGGTGAAATGGATGAGATCTGCTTTGTAGATGGGGGTGGGAAAGGGGATCTCATCACCAAGCCATGACAACAATAATGCCTGGTTCAACTATGTAATTTTTATTGTATTTTGCAGATTTCATATATCTCTATGTGCCAAATTGGAAAGAAAAAGAGGACATCATCATCATCCATCGTCAAGGGCACAGACACTACTATGTGTGTACGTACATACATAAACTGCAACGTGGAGATTGATAAAGGCTGGACTGGGCTGGGCTGAGCTGATGAGACAAAACCTACCCTCCCTCATCAGTCAGCATTTAACCGAACAATCTCTTGACTCCAGCCGCCCCCGGATCCATGTTCATCTCTCAATCGGGGGGAGTCCTCCAACCGCCGATGGGCACGGAGGAGGTCAGGGGATGGGTGAAGGCCAGGGATCCTGTCCTGCCGTCCAGCGCATCAACAAGCGATGAAGATGGTTTAGCCTGCCCGCCTGCGCTGCGAGACGTGAGTGATCCTCGGTGCATAAGGGGGATATTATGTACATACATACATCCAACATAGTTATGCTATCATCAGGGGATCTTCTCTTATCCACCCCGTCTTCGTCTGCAGGACAGTTCATCAAATAGCAACAGCCCGCAGGCATTGGCATTCACTCGGGATTTGCGTACCTATCAAAGCAAGTCAACTGAGCCAACACCAACTGACCTCTACCCCCCTGTCTTTCCACCCGCTCACCCGCTCCCTGAACGCTTCCCGCCGCTCAGATCGTTCGCTAGCGCCGTCGGAGGCTTTTCTGGACTCCAGCTCACGTCTTGGACCGCAACCACATCGACCCATTTTCCCCCTCCTCTGGACAGGACCCTGGGGCTTGCCTCTAACCCCCCCAGCACTGATCGTGGGTTGAGCCCATCGTGGATCGGATGCCATAGGCGCACTCTTGGGCACGCACACAGCGGCCAACCGCCAGATAGAGGTCTGTCTGCTGTTTTCTGCAGGGCACACCCGGCCTCAATGAGTGCCTGAGCACAGTAAAGCACGTAGCACCTTCCACTTGGGAGAGCGGGACAGAAGTAAGGTATCTCAGGTAGCACGTGTAGAAGCAGATACAACCGGGAGTGACTGCCATCTTGGGTCAACCACATCACCACCCACCAACACCAAAGACAACAAACGACGACAGAAGAGGGCTGATGCTGGGCTGATGCTGGCTCATGCCCGCTCATGCTGGTTTGATGTTGAAACGGGCATTCCTACAGGTACCTCCAGACAGTACCTAACCCACGGCGATCCCCGGAGTCGATCCCTCCCATCCTCGATTCGATGCGCTTGCTTGGCTTCATCATTTCTCACCTAGAGCCATCTCTCTATCCGGCAACTTCAGCGACGGGACCGAGGACGACGAGACGTGACGAGGAACAAAAGCCTTCTTTTGAAAGTGCATCTATCCCCTTGCTCACTCGCCGCGCCCGCTTTTTGGCTTTTGCTTCGCCTCCTCCCCCCCAATAGCACCCGTACCCTTGCTCCTCCTGCTTCACTCTTTGCCTCCAGCTTCCACTCTGCTTGCCTGCTTGCCTGCCCGCTTGATTGCCTCTCGTCTCCATTGGATCCTGGCAGAACCCTGTCTTGCCTGCTGCAGCGCTGCATGGGGAGAAGCGTTAGTGAGCTGCAACCCTGGCCATCACGCATCACGACTAATACCCGCAGCGAGGCCCGCAGCCCGTCCAGACCTACCTCCAGCGGCATCCACTTCGTCCTGTCTCCAACAACAAAACCGACCTTCAACCCCTTCCCCTTGGTTCTGCCATCGCCCACTGCCGCAACGGCTAGATCAGATACTCAGCTACGCCAGGCACAGCGACCGGGTTTTATTATTACCTGCTAGCCTGCGACGATCTTCTGCTCGCCAGCTGCAGCCCGGCTTACCTCGAGGTGCCTACCTACCTATTGTCTCTGGCCCACGCCCCAGTCACCAGCGCCAAAGCCCCTCCAGCGAGCGCCCAAGATCCAAGACATTCGCTGCCTCTTGTCTCGCTCGCCAAAAGCAACGAGGAGGTCTTCGTCCAGACTGCCAGACCGCTAGCACGCGAGCGACCTCACCCCCCTTCTCACTCTCTCACCCCTTTGTGAGCTTTTCCGGATGCAGAAGGCACCGCTGCTCGCTGCAGGGCTTTAGAAAAGTTCGGGTCTCCCCCCAAGGGCCTGATTCACGATGCGCCGCACTGCACTCAACAAGTCCAAGGCCAAGCTCAAGGATCGACCACGAGACGACCTCCCAGCCGCTCCCACTGCCACTGCCACTGTCGCCGTCGCCGCCTCATCCGTGTCTGCCGTAGAGGCCCTCTTGCGGGATGAGGGCTTTCAGGCTCACAATCACGAGCTCCTCGATCCCTCCGTCCCCGTCCCGAACCCAGCTCCCGCGCCTCCGGGCCCGGTCTCCGCCTCGGTCTCCGTCACTGCCCACGACGCCGTCCCCGTCCCCGACTTGCTCTCGCAGCTGGATCATGGTCGGCAGCTCCTCGTCCACTCCGTCGCTGATTCGTCTCTTGCCGCCGTCTCCTCTTCAACGTTGGACTCGCCCATGACAGATGCGTTCCCCGCCGAACTTGACGCCGTCTCCGCTACCGCTGCCGCTACCGCCGCCACCAACACAACTTCTTTCGCCATTGCGACTTCCGCTCCTCCAACTAACTTGACACCTTCTGTCGCCGCCCATCTACCGCACCAGGACGGCGACGACGACGACGACGACGACCAAGTCACCACCACCATCAGCAACGCATACGCAAACACCTCCCAATCTGTCGAATCCAACCCCGACGACGATATTGAGCTAGACCTGGACGCGTCCTTCCGCCCTCCTATACTCGACGACCTCTACATCCCCACCAACAACGCCAACCTCGACCCCGACTACGTTCATCACTACCACGCGGAGGATTATGACCTTGATATGAGCGACAGTGACGGCGGTGCTTCTCTTGACGACGACGGCATCTACGTACCTCAGCTCCAAGCCGACCATCACCCCCATCCCGTTCAACCCCAGGAGGACGATGATGCCCAGGCTCCCTCCTCTGGTCCAGTCAATTACCTCTTACACACTTTCTTCAACGCACCCTCCCTAGCAGGCGCCGACATCGTCATGGACGGCGCTCCGCCTACTGGGCCATGGGCTTCCACGCCCAACAACGCCCCCCTTCCACTACTACAACCTCCTACTCTAACGGAACCCATCGGTCTTGCCCCGATCAGCAACCCCAACCCAACAATGCTAGGGTCCGAAAACCATGGCTTGATCGACTTCCTCTGGCATTGGTCGCGCGAGGCACGCATCTCGCACTCATATTCAATGCGAGCCTTTGCGCCTTGTCCCGAGGACCTCCGCCGGCAGGCGCAGGTACACATGAACGAGGTTCGGTACGACGATATCCGTGGCGACGAATACGATTTCCAGGGCATGGACTGGGATTCAATGGGCACTACTCGTGAGCACGCCCGCAAAAGGCGCCTCGAAACTTATAAGAACTACGTCAACAAGGAGGGGTCTGATATGTTGAATGTAAGTGTCCACCAGTCCCCAATTCTGGTTCATGGACGGGTAAGCTAATACGGACGATAGCCTCACATGACCGACGTCAGGATCCCCAAATTGGAAAACTACGTCAGATTCAGGAAGTACCTAGTTCGCCGGGACGTCTACTTGGCTCACTTTCAACTACGCAGCGTGCTGGCATGCCCTTCACGCTCACAGGCCTACTACCCCGGCGGCCGAGGAGTCAACCATATGAACCCAGTCTCGGGCAAGACCGAGCTCTTCCTCAACAACAGCGATGTGACGGGCCTCGGAGCTGTCATCTCTACTCTCGACGCCAACAAAGGAGTCTTGATGGCGGGCACCTTCAATGGGGAGTACTACCTCAAGAACTTGTACACCGAGGACAAGAAGGACTACTCTGACGGTCAGATCACGCCGAACCTAGGAGGAATCACCAACCATATTCAGATCCACAATCCTCGACGATCAGGTAGTCCCGTCGCCGCCATTTCAAGCAACGATGAAGGGTTCCGTGTCATAGATCTCGCAACGGAGAAGTTCCTGCTGCAGACCCGGTATCGGTTTGCGCTCAACTGCTCCAGCATCTCTCCTGATGGCCGGCTGAGGGCTATGGTCGGTGACGACTTCAAGGTGATCATCTCGGACGCCGACACTGGCCAGATCCAACAGGAACTGGCTGGGCACCGCGACTTTGGCTTCTCCTGCGACTGGTCTGATGACGGCTGGACGGTGGCCACTGGCTTCCAGGACAAGGGTGTCAAGATCTGGGATGCTCGCCGGTGGTGCGACTCAAGGGGCATCAGTACACCTCTCTGCACTATCCGGTCGGAGATGGCGGGTGTTAGAAACCTGCGTTTCTCGCCAGTCGGCAGTGGTGATAGGGTTCTCGTGGCAGCCGAGGAAGCTGACTTTATCAACATCATCAACGCCCAGACGTATCACTCGAAGCAGATGGTCGACGTCTTTGGCGAGATCGGGGGCATCGCCTTCACCAACGGCGGACAGGACTTGAACGTGCTCGTGAGCGACCGGAGCCGTGGCGGCCTGCTCCAACTCGAGCGGTGCGGCACCGGACCTGAGCCTTTCTTCAACAAGTCGTGGCAAAGGTTCACTGACCCCGATACTGACCAGTGGCACTATCGGGCTGATTCGAATGCACATAAACATGAGCCTTACCGCCGAAGGCCTGTTTCTACCGACACAGTAGCCATCTTTTAAAGGAGAAGCATATCCCGTCTTCTCAAGCTGATACCCAACGGGGTCAATGATACCCGCGACATATCTCTACACTTGCTTGCTGCTTGCTTGCTTGGCCTTGCTCGTCACTCATATTATTCGAAGCACACGGCACGACTCTCTCTCGATTAGCATTATACCCCCTTTTGTTATCGTTTAATCAGCTTATTCACCATCCATCAACCGGGGAGCGACCATACGGTCTATGACGGCACGCCAGCAGCAAATAGGCGACTACCTTGGGCATTTTTGAGAGGAGAGGCCAGAGCATCAATCCATCCATCCATCCACTTAGCTTCAAAGCGTTCCACTCATATCTCTATGCATGTATTTCACATTTTTGGGCATTTCTTCCCTCTTCTCTCACTGTTATCCTGACGGCTTGGAAAAGCCCAGGCGGTCTTGGGGATACTAGATACAAGGGCATCGGCAACGGGAATCTGGGGGTCCTTTTTTCATTTGCTTTTCTTTCCTCATTGGGAATTTGCATCGACAAGCGGGAAGCTATCATGCTGGGGTGTTAACTATACGTTCTGCGGGGATGTCTAAGCATCAAGGGTGAGTTTTTTGGGGGGTTTACCTGGAAAGGGGGTTCAAAGCCGTTTGTATATCTATCTATATTGCCATGTTGCACTTAGTATTCTTGTGATTCTTAATCAAACGATGACGCCGAATAATGAAACCAAATCCAAAACCACTTTGAAGTTCTCTCGTCACATCTCTCATCCTGTTCTTAACCGTAGTTCGCATGGTGCAAGTCTCGAAACTGCCGATCTCTATGGTCAGGTCTCAGATTGTTGGGAGGGTGTTGTTTTGAGACACTACAAGCCTCCTCTTCTCTCATGGGTTGGGCCAGCCACACGGGATCCGAGACATGACGGTTTCGTCACCATTCCAGATGCCTGACCTTTTTTTTTAAAAGTCTTCACCGCTCAGGACGGTGAGGGGGTTGATGATGTTGACGACAGGTAATTCGACGGGATATGTTCACGCGACCACATGCATATCCCAACTGCAAAGCCTTTGATGTTGGTCACATTTCACTGCCTCTCCGTTTATCGGACTTACCGTCGTTTCGCCCCCTCCCAAGACATGGGATGGTCTCTTTTTGTCTTGGGTTTGGGCAGCGCCGAGGAGGGGGATTTCGGCGTGTCTCACCTTTTGGTTCCCGTCTCCCCCTCGTGGTTCACCATTTTTTATTGTTTTCGCTCTTGTTTTCGCATGGATCAGACAAAGGGTTGTAGTTGGTTCAAGGAGGAGACGGGATGGACATTACCTAAACCACTGATCACTTTTTCCATGAGATTAGAAGATGTTTTGCATATCTTCATATAAGGATTGGCAGTGTGTGTTGACTACTTAGACAAGTTTAATCATAGTCTCACTATTTAGTCATTAATTATCCCAAGTCCCGGGAGATTGGATAGTGTTACGTAGTGCTCATAGCATCCAAGAATTGCCTGTCATATGCTCTGATACATGAGATAGTGGTTGATATAGGGGTGTTGAGTGACACTGCCGAGCACTGTGAGCACTGAAAACGTGTGCTAAAACAGGCTAAGCAGTCACTCAGCACATGGGCGCCATAGTCTTGTAGCTTAACAGTAGTCTTTCATAACTTGTGCCACGTTCATTGAAGTCACATTGAAGAATCAAGAGGCACCGAAATTGCCAAGTCACAAGGGCATGTTTTGTTGAGAATAGACACTAGTAAATTACAGCATTATGAAGCAGAGGCTGAATGACAACCCGGCTAGATAAGATAGATCATGCATACAGATCGTCCCTCCCCAGATATAGTTTATATCCTCTTTAAGCTCAGAAGCCATAAGTTGCGTGTACCGTAAGAAGTGTTATCGCAAAGACCACATAGGGAAGACAACAGCAACAACACAAAATAGACAAGAAAAGATCATGTGTCGAGTGAACAAGTATTCAAGAAAAGAGTCCTCCACCGCCCGACCCGCTTCGGTTTCCCTCTGTGTTGGACGAGCGCGAGCGCGAACCACACTACCCCCTGCGGCGTTGTGTCTATAGTTGACCTGAGAGAAAGAGGACCGTCGGCTTTCGGACTCCCCCTGAAGGTTTTTGCTGAGGTGAAAGGTGATGGATTATATGTGATGGGACCAGCCGAGAGAAAGAGGATTGCTGGGGAAAAGGAGGAACTGAATGGCCGGGCGGTGTTGGATGTGGTTCATGTACATTCAGCATACCGGGGATTGACGCGGTCAGAGAACGTTCCGCATGCTGTAACCCGAACTGAAGCTTCTCGAGCGTCGCTTAGTAGAAAGCGCTCTTGCAGCCCCAGCTCTGCTCACAGTTGCAGGAGCCGGGCTCCTTCCACTTGTCATCCTCGTAGGAGAAGAAGACGGTCTTGTCGCCGCAGCTCTCGCGGATCGACTTGATGGCCTCGGCCTGCTCAGACTTGCCGGGGCAAGCAGAGCCGTTGCAGTTACCCTCAGAGGGCCAGCCGCACTCCAGGTTGATCACGTCGTTACCCTCGCAGATCTTGCTGAGGAGATCGAGCTGGCCAGAGACAAAGGTACCGGCGTCGGAGGGGGTGACCTCGGCGTTGAAGTAGGGGTGGATGTTAGCACCAGTGACATCAACAACGTCGCAGATGGCAGACTTGGTCTCGGGCTGCTCCCAGATGTTGAGGGTCTCAGCGATGGTGTAAGGACCAGTGTAGCCGGAGCACTTGGACTTGACAACAGTGATGAGTTCGCGGAGCTCGGAAGCAGAGCAGAAGCCGTTCATGATGGCCTCGTTACCGACAACGAAGAGCTTGACCTGATCCCACTGAGCCCACTCGGCGATGGCGTCGACCTGCTCCTTGATCTCGGGGGTCTCGTAAGAGCAGCCAGAGGCCTTGACAAAGACACCAATGATCATGTCAATACCGTGTTTCTTGCAGGCAGGGCCAACAGACTTGAGGGTGTCGCAGTCAGTGGAGTAGGATCGGATGATCTGGAAACCAGCCTCCTTGAGCTCAGCAATGTCCTGGTCAACCTTGTCGGCGGACTTGCAGTCACCGTTGGAGGACTCATAGGGGGTGTAGGTGATACCATAGTGGTCGTTGCCACCTCGGAGAGAGCCGCCGGTGGAAACCTTCTTGGGCTGGGCCTTGGGCTTGGGAGCAGCAGAGGGCTTCTCATAAGCGGGCTGGGTGTAGGCAGGGGTGGAAGGCTTCTCGGCAGGAGTGGAAACCTTCACGGTAGGAACCTCGTAGACGGGAGTAGAGGGCTTCTCCTTGGGGGCCTCGTAAACAGCCGTGGTGGGCTTGGGCTTAGGGGCCTCGTAGACGGGAGCGGAAGGCTTAGGAGCCTCAGTGGCCTTGGAGGAAGCAGGGACGCCAACCTGAGAGTAGGGGCAGACGTAGACGTAGCCGGTCTCAGTGACGGTCACAACCTGCTCGGGAGCAGTGTAAGTGCCAGGAGCGTAGCTGGTGGGGACGGGGTAGACCAAGACGGTCTCCTCGGTGCAGCTCTTGGTGACGGGAGCAATGGTGTAGGTGCCAGCGGAGGGGCAAACGTAGACGGTGGTCTCGATGACGCTGGTAACCTTGCCCTCGTGCTCAGTCTCCTTGGCGTAGGGGCAGGTGATGGTCGTGGGCTGCTCGACAACAGTGGTGACACCGCCGAAGGTGTGAGTTCCAGAGGGAACCTTGGTGGACTCGCCGACGCAGACGGTGGTGGACTCGGTCACGGTCAGGGTGGTGGCGGGGAAGGTGTAAGTGCCGGGAGTCGGGCAGTCATACTCCTGGGGAGTAGGAACAGGGATGACCGGGACCTCAACGACCGAGGTGGAGGTAGGCTTAGGCTTAGGAGCCTCGGTGGTCGGCTTAGGGGCCTCATACGTGGGCTTGGGAGCCTCGTAGGTGGGCTTGGGAGCCTCGTAGGTAGGCTTGGGAGCCTCGGGAGCCTTGGTGGTGACAACCTCCTTGGTCTTGGGAGCAGGAGGGGGAGGGTTGGGGATGACTGTTCCAGCATGTCAGCTCACTAAACTCAACTCAATCGGATATGCTTCATACGAGTAGGCTCGCCGTAGTAGGTGGTCCAGATGGTGGTGCAGCTGGGGACGCAGACCTCACCACGACGGAAGAGGTCGTGGGCACGGCGGTGGTGAGGGTAAGCGGCGTGGGCGCCGGTGGCCATGGCCGCAACGGCGGCGGCAGCAATTCCTCCCTTCATATTGAACAAGCTCAAACAACAAACAGATATATATGCGGTTATATAGTTGGCGTTAGAAACGAATGCCCGCTAAAAGAGTGAAGCGGTAAGTGGGAGATGGGAAACGAGAAAGCGAAAACAAAAAGTTAACGAGGCTCTCTAGATTCTCGACATGAACGGAACCGTGAGGAAGGAAGGAGGAGAAGGAAAGAAGAGGAGCAGAACAGCGGCATTATGAGCAGATTGGTGTTATTGCTGCTCCTGCGCCTTAGTTGGGGAGGACCCGGCTAGATTGTTGTGCCTTGCTTGGCTCCAGGAGTCGTCGCATTGGCAAAAGGCTGATCTAGCCAAGAATAGCCACTCTGATGGTACCTGAGACTCACACTCAGGTACCCGTCCCCAAGCCGTCTCTCAAGAATGGCAGGGATGTCAGTCGCCAAGTTCCGACAAGAGACCACCGCGGTCACCGTTGGTGCTATGCGCCTATCACACATCCCAGCATACAGCCGGGGTTCGCGGGCGAAAAGGGGAACCGTGTGGAGCATGGGCAAGGTGTAATTTCGTCGCCTCGGCCGGCCAAGGGGTATGAGCTTGTCCAAGTTGCCGACACCTCCCCCAAACGAAACTATCCTCCAGCGCTCGAAAAGGGGAACTTGGCGGTGTCACGGGTGCTGCCCATAGAGAGCCTGGCGCTACCAGCAAATGAGGAGCCAAGCCTGGCCTCGCTGGGGGATTCGCTGTGAAGCGAAATCATGTCAATGGAACGGCAATGCTTCTAGACGCTGGTTGGTTGGTTGGTCAGCCCAGGGGGCTCCGAGATGACCACAGATGGGTGGTTGATGAAGGCCCCGCTGGGAGATGAGCCTAATAGCCTCGCCTCTCTCATGTTTATCGCGGTGTGCCTCTGCCATGCCGTGCCGTAAAAGTCAAGTTGCTGGCCCTGTGGAGGTTCTCCATCAAAGGATCCCCGTACATGATGGAGCGGCCTCCAGGCTGACCAACGGCTGGCTGCTGCATCCAAACCTTGAGTCCCATCGAGGTCCCTTCCATCAAGGAAGCATCCATGGTGAATCAGCCGGCTCATCGGCCTGTGGGTCGCGAGATTGTTCCTGCATCTGACACGGCCCCCAATTTGCCTTAGTGTGAGTGGCTGGCGCTTCTCGGTGGTCGAGGGGCCCTCGTGTTTGTTTTAGCGACTTTTTGGCCATCTTTGTAAGTGTCGTCACTCTCCGTAGACCGCTGATTCCCTCGAGGACAGGGCCGGGATTGTTGCCCATGGCCATTCCCATCCCATCCATCGACTGGTCCAGCCCGTGAGGCGCAGGTGTCCCTCTTTTTCTGCGGGGGAGAACAGCCAGCAAAAGCCGGGGCGAAAGCTTGTCGATCGGATCTTTGGCTGGCCGAAACAGCTAGAGCCATGGCGTGCAGGCGATATGAGTCGGCGCGCGAGCGCAGATTGCCTGCCCCCTTCAGATCAGATCGTATAATTTGCTCTTCGTATTCTGTCTGGTCTGGTCTGGTCGCACGGCAGTTGATGGCCTAGGGCCCTAGAACTTTCTGGCTTTGCGCATTGCATCGCATTTTCCAAGACAACCGACTGCCCCCGCAGGTTTCATAAACCGACTGATTCGAGTCTGTTGTGCTGTCACCCTGTCCCGCTATGTCTTTGTTTTCCAGCCAATCCTCCAGTTCACTGGTAGCGGGATGGACTGGGGTCTCAAGGTGGGCAAGGTAATGTCGATCTGTCGGCTGCTTGCTTTCTTGTTCAAATCAAAAGTTATTTCGCCCGTTTCTTGGCCCTTGGCTCTGCTGAGGTTGCCCAATGCAAGCCCCTATTCCGGGCCAACGAGCGAGGACTTTTGCTGAAGGATTAGCCATTGCCCTCCGGTGTTGTCAAGTATACGGATGGCATGGCTCTTGTTGGCATTGTTGTCGATGTATTTATTGCGAGCACAAATGACTTGGCATGCATGTCATCCGAAATAGCACCCTTCAATGGATGTTCCTGCATGCATTCAAGGATGGATGGATGTCTCAAGACACGTTGGCTGTGAGGTGTTGTCGCTGAATATTCAAGCCATCATGTGCAGCTTCCGAAACAAGCACTGACAAGGATCTAAATGGAAGGAGTGGCGGAAACCGTTGTGAGACGCCACGTCATGTGACACCGCGAGACACATGAGCACCTGCTTAACGCGGTGTGGCTAAAATTTTCAGCCTCGTAGGTACTGGGGAAGCATTGACGACCATCGAGATAGTGAAAAAGATGTTGCGATCATCAACCCGTCGGTATGTGTGTCGAAATTGCATTGCCCATAGTCGCAATGGGCCGGGGTCTTCTCTCCCGTTGTTGGCGCACTCATTGACTGCAGCGAAAAAGGTTGGTTTCTTTCTTGACGGCTCATAGCAACATCAGTTAATCTGATTTTTCTTGCAGTATTCCACCACAACCCAACGTCTTCAAAATGGCTTTAGACCAGCCAACATCCCTAAATCTGATCCCCAACCGCCTTTGGCGTCTTCTATTCCAGGCCAAGGACCGATTAGACAAAGATTGCAAGGCTGGGTGCCTGAAGAAGATGAACGGATTACTCAACTCGTTCCCGACATGACCTTTTGGTCCAAGGTGACCAACAGCAACACCCGTCCCCAGTCAACTGGCTCGACAGAGATGGATCACTTCAAGTCTGATAGCTCCGGTATGACTGAGTCAGACGAGGCTTTCAACAATGAGGATGTTGAACTTGCCATTGTCGGAACCAAGACCAGAACTCCTGGTGATCTCGTCGAGATGAAGTAATGGCCCCCGTCTCTTCACCCTAGTTCAACAGCAACTAACACATTAGCAGACAACCTGGTTCTAGAACTCCCCTCTTTGGTATTTACCTGGGATACTTTGGCAGTCGTCATCACTTCTACACAAACACGGGCAAATGGGTCATCAGCTTGGGATTTAATGCCCTGTTCACCATCTCCAAATTTGTCTCCGCGGACGACTTGAAGCCAGTTCTGGCTTTGATCCCCCAGGATGTCACACCCGATGACTTTGAAGAACTCCGGAGGGAGGACAGGGGCCCTAGCCGTGAAGCCGGTGCTGACCTGATTCAAAAAATGCGGGCTTTCACTTTGGAAGCTGACACGGCATATCAAGCCAGCCTCAATAGCCTGGATAGAGCAAGGTCCCTGGTGTCGGATGGCAAGCGGACCAAGTACCTGAGCCTATTCGAGCTCGCCGACATTCTCTTGCCTCAGTCCCTCAAGAAAGGCAAACGATTTTCTCCCGCAGCCCTATACGCCGTACATACCGCCCTCTACCGGAACGACTTCATCTTCCGGCCTCTCAGCCCATCTGCGGATTGTCACCGACGGGATCATCTTTTTGAGATTTTTCCGTATCAGGATCTCATGATGATCAACCGTGTTTCACTCATGGTCCGCGACTATACCGTCACAAGGGGTAGGAACCTGAAGGCTCCTACTGACGAAGAACTCGCATGGACAGGGTTTGGTTCCTTTATTCTCAAAGCAAGGGAAGTTGTTCTCGCCAATCGCGAGAAGCGATCCTGGACACCCTACGGCGTCCTCGCCCCTTCGTCAGGGGTAACTATCGAGACTGTGGAATGGTCAAGGAAACAGCTGGATTTCATACGCTTCTTGGAGTGGTGGGCAAGCTACGACCTCTTTGAGGACTCGTCGCGCTTCCATGCGGATGGTTCTCTGATTCTCCGGGCTCTTGACCTCTACGATAACGTCACTTTGGATCAGCGAACCGCCTGGACTTTTCTTCAGGAATTGGGTATGATTCCTCCATGGGAGATCCCGTCACGCTACAAGGTTCGATTCCCAGATGTCAAGATTGAGGGCGGAGGTGGCCTCCAGAGAGAGATCCCAGCCCAGCTGGAGGACTCGACACGGCCAGACATTGCAGAAGGCTCAAGGAGACAGTGGACCGACGACATGGTCTTTTGCATCGACGCTCCTGAAACCATGCTCATCGACGATGGTGTCTCGCTAGAGCGTACAGAGAAACCAGACGAGTTCTGGATTCATGTGCATACAGCCGACCCAGCATCAGGGATCAAGCCAAACTCTGAGTTGGGCAAGTTCCTGGAGCTGATTCCAGAAAACATTTACCTTCCAGGACACTTCCAGGCCATGCTTCCAGCCGATATCAGTCTGGACCAGTCAGGAGATTTCAAATCCGAAAGCCTTGTCGACCAGTACTCCTTGGCTGCCGGCCGACCAGCCCTCACCTTCAGCGCCAGGGTTAACAAGAAGGGTGATCTCCTTGACTACAAGGTTGAGCCAGGAACCCTTCACAAGGTCACATATTTGGATCCCAAGGACGTTTCCAAGTTTTGCAATGAGCCCCCGCCTCCCCCAGCATCCGACAAGAGTCTTGTCGTTGGACAACTGCCAGACAAGGCAAAGACGGAGCCAAACCGGCCCATAATGTCGGCAAAAGATTTGGACGAGAAGAGCAAGGGAGACCTCCTGACGCTCTACCGCTTGGCTGAGGCGATCAGAGGAAAGCGGCTTGAGAAGGGAGCGTGGCCCTCGTTTCTGCCTGGAGCCTCTGTCACGGTCGCCTTTGAGGATGTACCAATGAGCCAAACTGAGGGGACAAAGGTGCTGCCTCCGGACCCGTACATCAAGATCGGCTACGACTCGTTCAATGGCGCCTCGGTTGTCTCCAACACGATGGTTCTGGCGGGTGAGATCGCGGCTCGGTGGTGCTCTGACCGCAAGATCCCGGTCCCATACCGAAGAGATGTGCACTCGAAGGACAATTTTGAGGCTATCTATAACTACGCCACCAAGGAGCTATATCCTCCCCTCGAGAGGGGTGTGCAGCCAACGCTGGCGCAGCGTCAGCAACTCTCACGTCTCACAGGCGGCGTCGAGATGTCGACAGAGCCCGGGCCATACTTTATGTTAGGTCTAGACATGTACGCCAAAGCCACGTCGCCTCTCCGCCGCTTCTCCGACCTGGTGGTCCACTGGCAGGTTCACGCGGCGCT